CAGGCTGGAACTCTGGCAGCCTACAAGGAAAAGCCACGGTTTTGCATGTTTTTCTCCTTTAAAGGAGAATCTATTTTTAAAGTTTGTTCACGACCCTTTCATATATTCTTGCAATCCACTTTTGGGTCGTAACCCACAGGCTGAGAAACACCATTCTAGGAGACAGGTTCCAGTCTGTTCAGTTAAAGGTAAACATCTCCAGATAAGACTGAGGACAACAGTGCATGTATGTGGTGGACTTACCAATGCAGCCCGGCTCAAACAAGTTCAGAAAATCTTCATTTAGATTGGTGGAGCCCATCCACCGATCAAATAAGGGCTGGGCGGAAGAGGCCAGCCCTGCCTCTTACACAGAGGTGGTGGGGAGCAAAGAGCCTCCCAGACCTGGTTGAAGCCTGTGTTCTGCAGGTCAGGCAAGCCTTTGGAGGTGGAGCCTCCAGAGTGAATAAAAGGAGCCACGTGCTCATCACGCGGCAGATGCATCGGGGCCAAAGCAGGCAGAGCTAAGAAAAGCTGGGGAGAGCTGCCTAGTGGGCGGAAGCAGTAGCCCAGAAGAGCCCTGGAAGACTCAGCAGGACTGGCACAGCAAGTGGCTTCAGCTACAGCCTCAGCAGTGCAGAGCAGTGCACAGGGCAGACCCTAGGAGCTGCAGGAGGCAGCTCAGGTCCCCAGACACTTGGCGCACAGAGCAGTGCACAGGGCAGGGCCTGGGAGCTGTGGGAGGCAGTTTGGGTCCCTGGACATTTGGTGCACATAGCGGTACATGAGGCGGCCAGATTCTGAGAGCTGCACGTGGCAGCTCGAGTCTGCTACCCTCGGCATGTAGCTGAGGGCTTGGTACATGCAGCGGTGCATGGTGTCCCAAATCCTGGAAGCAGTGCCAGGCTGCTCACCACTTGGGTTTGCTACCCCTCCTGTGAGGCCGGGCACCTAGGAGGTGCCAGGCCACTTGGGTTTGCTACCCTTCCCTGGCGTGAGGCCAGGTACCCAGGAGGCACCAGCACAGTGCAGCGGAGTTCCCATGGAGCCTGGGTTTTGGGACCCGCACGAGGTGGCCTGAGCCCCAACAGGGGGCAAAAGTTGGAGCCTGGGTTTCAGGACCCACATGAGGTGGCCCGAGCCCCTACAGAGGGCATAAGGCAGGGCCTTGGGTGGTCCCGGGAGCCCCTCCCGGTGTGCGGATTCCCCGCATTCGTGAGTACCCAGGGAATGGGTCCCCATGGGGGAGGAAGCCCTGGGGGGGTGGCCATCAGGGGCTAAGGAAGTAGTGGGACCCTCCCCCTACTTCCCCTAGGAGTGGTGCCAGGGTTTGGCACCCTGGGGGAACGCCTGGTGATCTCAGCCATGTGGGTACCTGAAAGGGGAGTTGGGGAGCTGGTGTCTCATATTTTTGTAAATAGTTATATATGTATACTTATATTTATATATAGTTATCCTTTAATGTGACCTGGGTTTTGTCATCTATTTGAGGTTTATTTGTATCTACTTGTTGTTTTGCCTGAACTTACCTGTTGTTACCTGTTGTATATCTGCCTTTGTTGTACTTGCGTGTTGCTGACAGCTGCTTACCTGCATAGGAACCCTTACCCTTTGAGGTAGGGGACCCTGGGGCCTTTGATTGTAGAGCATAATGGTGTTTAGTGATCTAAATATTGTATATATGTACCTTTTCTCTCATGAGTTTGTAAATATTGTTACCTGTATATTAATAAACATGTATATAGGTAAGCAGTGGGGTCCTGGCCTGACTATAGGGAACTCAGGGGAAACTGTGTGGTTGACATTTCCCTCCCACAACACCTCTGCCTGCTGACAACCCCCTTCAATTCAGAGAAGCAGAGGGGAGTACATACCCTGTGTACACCCGGGCTGTGGGTAACTCAAGGCCTTCTGGTCCCATAGGAATTCCTGTTCACCCTGAAACTGAGGGAGTTTGCGTGGAGGGGATACTCTGGTGCTTCCATTCTGGAAGCCAGAGCTCCTCAGCAGCCCACCATGTTTGCTGGTGGGCAACCAGGCAGGTTTCCTGTATTGGTTTGTCAGAACTGTTTTGTTAGAAAATTCTTTACAGGCTCTGGTAAAGAGTGAAACTTGACCTCACAAGAGCTTCTATCATCTCTCTGTTTTTCTTAATTCTCTTGAGTGGATGGGTATAAATAGCCCATCCAAAGAGACATCAAGGGACACTGCTATACATGTTTAAATAATTTAGTTCTTGAATAAGAAAGAAGCTGCATTTGGTAGATTCAGAGGACCTTAGGATCCTCAGGCTTCTTCTACCATTGCTAAAGGACTATAGCAAAGATGTGAGCCCTAGTAAGACTTGCTAGCAGTTTTTATTAGGTTTAAAACAAGTGCAAGATGTAGTGGGGCTGCACAACATCCAATCGGTATGCACATGATATTTTAGAGCCTGTTGCCATCTAGTGGTTGTCAGGTGTAACAGAGGCACTCCAACTAAAGTGAAGTTAGGATTTCATATTTACCATCCTCTTTTTCATAGATTCTTAAATTGTAAGGGGCTGGAAGGGACCCCGCAAAATCATCAGATGTTACACTCATGGTTTGGCCTCAAGGAGAGATTAGGTGAAAATGAGATTTTAAAAAAATAAGCCTCTGTAAAAGCAGTTTCTTTTAAACAAGCAGTTTCAACAACCCCAGCTTTACAGCCTCTTGGGCCCAAAAGTGCAACTAATTATAAAACCAAGGAAGGAAAGGATTTTTGCTGTTTGTGGTGAGAAACTCATGAAAAAAGCAGACTCATGATCGGTGACAAGCAAGATGGATCTTTGAAACTCTTTCATTGTTAAATTGGTAACAATGAAAGTGAATTCACTTCACATCTGTATTTTTAATCTCTTGTTCTTCTCACCTTGTGACAGACGTGATTTGCTATGTGCCCTAGAAAAACTATTTCTAAGGAAGCCAAACAAATGTGATTCCTGAGCTCTCTCCTTCTGCATCCTGCTACCGGCAATTTCTGTTTCTTTTCTGCATCAAAATAAAGTTTCTCCTTCTCATATTAAAAGCTTCATGCAACTCCTTTTTCTCTTCCTTTCATCCTACTTCCCTCTTGCACCTTACATACAGCCTAAGCATATTCTTTTTTAATGGCTCTTTTTATACCTTGCAACTATTTTCTTTTTCATGGCTCAAAGAGTTGCCCTCTTCCTTAAATCTCCACTCCAAATGTACGTATTTACATATAGATACCTTTAAAAAATCTCATGCATGGTTCCTACACAGCTCCCAACTCCTTCCAGCATACCTATTGTAAAATCCTGGCTTCATTTAAAGTAACGGCAAATCTCCTATTTATTTCACTTCACTTCACTTCACTTTAGCTGTACTTTATTTCACCCATGTATTCATTTTTTATTATTATTAACTAAATTGTGAGCTCCTGCAGGAAAAACAACATAGAAAAATCCTTGCTTTTCTAGTAAATTCATGGGTTTTTGGTATTGTTCTCCTCTAGATTACATATACAGTTCTCCTTGTGTCCCTTATATGTCTTTGTGTATAGGGCTTAAGATGCTAGTTTTAACAGTAAATGCAGTATGTAAATGATCAATGCCTTATTTCTGGATCATATCCTTTGCCTCACACAGACATTTGTGTTGTGCCTTTATTCTTGAAAATACCATAGGGATCCCAGACTTGGCCATGAGATTCCAGGATTTGGGTATACCTTTTCTGTCTTTACTTGTGATGACTACTTCCAGATCTACATTGGAACCCAAAATTCCAATTACAGAGCTAAACATAAGCTTCTTACCAATAACACTTTATTTAGCCCTATTAACTATGTAAATGCACTCTGAAAAGGCCAGAGCAGACATGGAACTAGGGTAGGGTATAAAGGTCAGTTAATTGACCAGTCAAATATTAATCATAAATTGTAAAAAACTGCCAATAGATCTAAATAATACATAGAAAAAGCATAAGTTTTCCATTAAGGAATGTGTCAAAAACAATAAACAGGCTTAACTTTGATGGGATAGGTAGACAGAGAAGTTAGTCCCTAAATTGAATTTGCCAGGTAATAAAATTCACCATTCTAAGTCAGTCTTTTCCTAAATCCAACTCACCTAGTATTTAAATAGCAGTAAGGAGAGGTTAAGTGAAGAAACAAGATTTCCTCCTGCCCAAAAAGTTAGTTTATTTAGGGGCCACTGTGTGCAAAGACAGTGGCCTTTTCTATCCAGCATTCCACACGCCGTATGGCCCAGCTAGCACTTCTAGGACTTGGCAATCTGCAGTTTGGGTAAGCTTTGGTTATACAGAATTTTGATATACCAGCTGTGCATAAATTTAAAATTTCAAGATCCAGACGTGTAAGATTAAGGGATGATTTTACCCTAAGCTGTTCAGTTCTATTAAGAAAAATCTTGGCAGCTCATTTTTCTTACATCCTACATGTGCCAAGAAGAATGATCTTCTGCAGTTTGTAAAAGGAAGGATTTACATTTGCAATGAATCATTCTAGGGTATGAAGAATACCCATCATCGTGGACTATACAGTGAGTCTCATGTCTTCTAAGAGAAGACTTTTGTTGACATGGTCACAGACAGGAGGCGTGCTTTATGAAAGGAAATACAGGGAATAAGATGCTCGCCTCTAGCATAGGCTGCTTATAAGCTATTGTAAGAAAGAGGGAGAATCAATTACAATATTTTACAGGGATAATAATAATAATATCTTCAGAGAGAGTACTCTTAGCTCTGATGTTACGGTAACTGTTCATTTGTAGGTGGGATCTTTCATTTTTAAATGACTTCCAGAAGTACAGTCCAAACATCCATCACTAATGCTGATCATGATGCAGATATGTATTATTTGCTTTCTGAACCTTTGATATTTGGTTCTTTTTTTGTTGTTGCTTTAGTAGCCTGTTCTATATAAATAAACTGTGCAAAATGGCAGAGAGTGTCAAAGTTGCCTTTCATGTATAGATCCATTGTTCCTTTGCTTTAAAGCATTTGTTTTCTAATTTTAGGGTAAGTGATGAAAAAGATGCCAGAGGGTATCTCCAAGCTTTAGCATCCAAAATGACAGAAGAATTAGAGGCCTTGAAGAACTCGAGCTTGGGTGCAAGAGCAACAGTAAGAATCAAAATTACAGTATTGATAGCATTTTGTTAAAAAATGAGGGGGGTGGGGATTGATTAAAAAATATTTTTTCTGTAGAAATATCTCATGAGAATCTTGCAAAAAGTTTATGGACATCCCTAATGAAGGAATGCCCAGATTTATGGTTTGTTGATTAGTTAAGCAGCATCCCTTTTAAAATATGATTTTTTTTTTAGGTAGCTGGCCCCATGAAGTCTTGGGTTAATTTGCTGAATGGATGTTTGTATAAAAGTGCAGATGTGAAGAAAATCTGCACTGTCACATCCTGGAAAGTTTTGGCTTTGTAGGATCATTCCCTTGTGTGCGAGTCTTAGCATAGTTGTCATTGAAATCTAGGCACATAAAGACTAGGGAATCTTAAAGTCACTTTACGTATGAGACTGAAAACATGAGACAGTCATTTTCTTCTTTTAATGCTTGGGTTTTAAAAAAGATAATGGAAAGTCCCCAAAGTCCTTTTGGGATTAATGAACCCTCATGTCAAGAACATAATAGTCTGTGGAACAAAAAAGTGTTGAAATTAATTGCATTCTCTTTCTCCCCCTCCCCTTCCCCTTTTTTTAATAGGACATGCCCTGGAAGATGCGCCGCTTTGCAAAACTAGATATGTCAGCAAGGTTGGAACTGCAGTCAGCTCTTGATGCAGAAATCCGAGCCAAACAGGCCATTCAAGATGAGTTGAATAAAGTTAAAGCTTCCAGTATTTCTACAGAATGGTAAGATGGAATAGTTCAAGTGGAAATTCACTATAGTAGTTTAAGGGAGGCCTTATGGGGAGAGACCATCTAGTTATAAGTGTTGAACATTTGTCAGCATCTGCTGATGAATGGTGTGCAGTATCTAAAAACAGACCGTACCCTTTTGAATTTTGTAAAAAGAGTTATTGTGAAAATCTGGAGTTCTTGAGAGATTTTCTGTCTCCAGGAGGGGCGCTTCTTATAAATCACTCTCTCCCACAAATGTTTTACAATGTTAGCTCAAAACAAACAACAGTTTAGTTGCACTGTTTTGAGATATATAGTCCCATCCTGTCACTGACAGCTTTATTGAATTGGAAAAGAAAACCAATTATCGCATGTTGATTTGTACAGGAGCAAAACCTGCCTGTTGAGTTCAAGATTCCTTCCTTGATTTCTCCTTTATTTTGATTATGCAGTTCATTTGGTTTGGTTGGCTGGCTGAAACAAGGACTTAATAATGGGATACAGAGCATTTGAGTTCTGGGGTCACCACCAAACCACCCCAGGTCAGAAGAGACCAAAAGCTGGAACTAAAAAAATCTTCTTGGTGGCCTGGAAAAATTAAATTTGGTGACATTAAGCCCAATACAAAAGAGCCCACATCACAACATCAGCCACTGAAACTGGCATTGACAGTGTCCCTTGTTGGTAATCTGAGCAGAGAAGCTAATGACAGAACAAACATAAGGACTAAGCAGCTTTTGTCATGCCTAGAAGTGATCCTTCCAAATCAGGATTAAGGGATGTCATAAGCAAAGCATGTACTTCCTAAGGATGCACCTTTTCCACTGGAAAACAGAAGGCTGCCAGTATACTGGGCTATCAGTTTGGTACCTTTTACATACTCTAACCTCACTTTATTTAAAAAAAAATAGGCATCTTGATTCCTTAAAATGGGAGAATATGGCTCTTTAATGTGTATGTCTTAAAGTATATGTCAGTCACATGGCACCTATTAGTATTGTTAGAATTTGTATTAAAAACATGTAACAGGGTAGCCTCCTCATCAGGTTTTTGCTGGCTGCCCCACTCCTAGGGCAACTACCCACTTCTCTCACCTGCCACACCTTGATGGAAAAATATGAGAGTTATTACTAAGGCAGGAGGCTACCCATTACTTGCCCTGCTGACAAGGGCCTTAATACCTGCTCCGATCTCCCCTCCATGGGTCCCATGCTCTGCAGATGTTACTCTAGTGTTACTTCTCCAGCCTATGGCTGGAGCAGACTAGGCGCACAGCTGTAACGCTTCTCTGTAGCCCCAGAGGGCCACTCTCATGCTACCCCTCTCTCACCAGGGTCCCACTCACTCTGCTTACTCACCCAGCCTCTTTCATACTACCCTCTTTCAGGGGCCACACTCATCCCTCCTGGCCTCACCCAGCTTTAGGCTTAGCTCTCTTCTCCTCGGTCAGCCCCAGCACAGTCTGTTGGATGTCTCCTGCTACCCTCACCTGAGTGTTGACTGAGTGATTCTACAACTATAGGCCTATTTCACTCCTGGCTCCTTGCCGGGCCACTATACCTCCACTGGGCCTCCTCACTCGCCCACACTCACAGGGACACTCTAATCGTCGCCCCTCTCACCGGGTCTCATTACTCATCACCCCTCTCTCTCCCAGGATCTCACTCGCATCCCTAGGCTTTATCCCGCCACGTGGGTGCGGCCCCAGGTCCCTTCTCCAGCCTGAGCTCTGCCTCAGGGCTCCATAACGAGCCTTGGGCTCCCCTGCTTGCTAGAATAACAGTAGGGATGTGGGGCTGGGGTTATAAGGTGCCCCGACCCACCTTTCACTGGGGAGGTAACAGGCCTGGCATTTCCTGGGATCTCCCACACCACTAGGAGCCCCACCAGGCCATCCTTCCCCGGCAAGGTGCAGTTTTCTGTCTCACCAAGGACAAGGGGTCACCTCCTCCCCATAGCCCCTGGCCTTACTTCTTGACTCTGGCCAGAGCAGCCTCTCAGCCTAATGTTACTTCCTTCCTTCCTGCAGCAACCTGCAGCCCAGTTTATATCCCTGGGGCAAAATGGCTGCCCTCATCAGGCACCTGGCTGCCACCTGTTTTCTGCCCTTGAAGTGGTGGGCACCAAAGGTGCTCTGCCACAAAACATATATACAGTACAAAATTGATCACACACTGTACTGTGGTAATAATAGTTTTAAAATAAGATTTGCCGTGTTTGTGCTACCCCTAGGCAAGGTACTGTAGTTTAAGGTAACCTTTGAATTCTCTCTTTCTGAACAAAGAGATTAGACTAGTTTACAAAGCTATGTGCTGATGCCTCTTTTAAATTCCTTAATGCTATAATGTGCCTTTCTGAGCACTTAGATGGAATGCCAGTGGTGGAAAAAGGGAAGGAATTGATTCATAAATCCCAAATGTGAAAGAAAAGGAAGAATTTCTGTCTTAGCTGGATTTGTAAGAAAAATGGAGATGAGAAGTCAACCATACCAGGGCAAATTTAATTTTTAGGGGTACAAAGATTTTCAGTTCACTGTATCAAGTTTTTCCTCACACAGCTTCCATTGCAGCTGATGAGATATGGAATAAACATCTTGTACATAAAACAACTCAGTCTGTGCATGGAAAAAGTTCATGCTATTATAATAGCCAGCATTCGAGAATCAAGGATTTTGAGTTCTGTCCTTGATTCATTGAGTGCATGTTGTCTAATCAATTAATTTCTCTGAGTCTTGGCCTAGCCATCTGTAAAATGGAAATGTTAGTATCTAGCCAGCCTGCCTGGGTGTTGTGTGCACTATTCAGATACTGTGCCAATGGAGAGCAATATAAAACCCCTAAGATAAGAGGGATCAATGACTAGTATTCAAGAAGTTATTTGAGATCCTTTTTTGATAAGTGTTATAAAAATGAATGTTAGTAGTAGTAATCTGAGTGTGAATCAGAGAGCTCTGATATAGCCAGTTGTAGTCAGGATGTTTATAGTATTGACATGTTTTTATGGATTCACTCATGAAAAATTCAACAGAAAAAGTTCAGCTTACAGTCTATGAGCAGCACAAACGCAGTGAAGTACCAAATTAAATAATATTTGTTAAGTTTTAAAATAAACTTGATCTTTTCTTCTCATTCCCAGGGCATGGGTTCACACAGTTGCTCATAAATAGAGGCATGACAACCTAAAGGGTAAAGAAAGGCAATTATTCACTCCCTTTTTAAGGTCCCATACTAAACAAGTCCTAACAGAATTCTGAACTCAATCTTTCATTTGATGACCTCATGCTTTTTTTGACCATGCAACTTGGCTGGCATTGATTTTAACCAAACAGTAGTCCAAATAACATGCAAAGAGGGTTGAGAAAGGGAGACTCTGTACCAGTGGCTCTTAGTAATTATGTTTGTTTGTTTTTTAAAGTAAACTGCAAGAGTCAGAGAAGAAGAACTTGGAGCTACTAGCAGAAATTGAAAAACTGAAAAAGGAAACGGAAGACCTTAGATCAGAAAAGGGTATGGCAAGTGGTGTCCAGATACATGAGAATGTGCTGCACAGTGGTGGGTACATCTTATCAGCTTAGCGTGTCATCTTCCAGCATAAGTGTGAGAGCCATGATGCTGAAAGAGTCTGGTATCTAAAGCATGAGCACAGCTGTTTCATGGTAAGATGTACCCACAGCAGCTCTGTTATGTAATGTTTTTTAATTTTATTTTTGCACTTGAACCAATAAGAGTAATTTTGGTTTGAACTGGTATTTTCCCTTGCATTTGCATGCCACAAGTAACCTTTATATAAACTTTAGAAGCAAAGAATAATCCCACAGAAAAGATGTCTATGAAATATAGTAGTAGCTATAGTAGTAGTATCAATAGTAGTCAGTCAGTTATCTGCACTTCTGGATGTTCTGGATAGATCTTCCTTAAGAAAGGAAAATTGCCAAGACATTAATAATATTTAATGGCTCGCTCTCTTGCAGCAGTTTTTTGTGTATGCACAGGAGTACATTCATGAACAGAATCAATGTAATTGGGTTTTTTTGGGTACCAGTGCATTCTGAGATTTCTATAGTACCTATCCCATTGCTCCTGTCAACACTGCTGCAAAATAGTAATTTTCAAACATAAAGTAAGTGCACTAAGTGATAAGTTGACAGAATCAGCCAAGCTGATGTAGCTGTAAAGTTTGTGTCTTATGGTCCACACAGGAAAAAGCCTTGGTATCCTGCATTGTTGAAGCAGACCTGAAATACCTAATGCCAGGGACAGTAACAAGTTAGAATCTAAAACCAGGAACATTCCCAGTCTGGGATATGTATGCAAGGCATTTTACAGGCTTTGCAACCTCTAGGCATTCAGAACTGTAGCCTGTGGCAGCTCATTTTCACCTACTGCCAGATATGCCTGTGAGTGCAGCATGACAATCATGACAACAAAGTGGTATACAGAATGTGCATATGTAACTGGTGCTGATAACCTGATGAATAGGAAATGATTTAGTGTACTGATATTTTCTCATCTTGATGTTATACATTGATATTCAGAATATGCATAATATGCATAATAGTTTCAGTATAGGAATTTTGGGACTGCCGGTTGCCTTAAGAAGTTTTTCTGGACAATGGTACTTTTTCATATGTTTATCCTTCCATTTATAGCTCCATAAACAGCCTATTAAATATTCTACAAATGGCTATGCTTCTGAAAAACTGGCTAATTGTCAGGTTACTAAACAAGTCTGCCATGTAACATTGATAGTCATAAACAAGAATTGGTAATAAATATTTTACCATGTATGGTGTTTCTTCAGCGTTAGAACTTTAGCTTTTTTGTATGAAGGTGTTTAATTCTATTTCTGAAAAGAATGTAAAACTTTAAAAACATAATGGATTTTAAATATGACAGAAGCAATTACTATACTTTTGCCAGAAGCAAATGCTCAAAAGTGGGTGATTTAATATTTTACTACTGAGAAACACATTTTAATTCAGATTCTTTCTTATATTTGAATTTGACTGCCTCTTATAAATAGAAAGATGTTGATTGCTAAAAGACAAACAATGTAGAGGATTCAAAGGCATGTATCCTCTTCAGTACTGGCAGATTAAGTCATCATGCGTGGAAATTGTTTTCCAAGAAAAGGCCATTTAGATTAGCAGACACATCCTGTATATTTGATAAGAGTATTCCAGAAACCTGGGAGGGGGAGAAAATAACACAGGGGAAACCTGATTCTATAGACTAATGCCTACATTGAGAATCACATCCAAGCTCCCAACAAGAGCTCTAGAACAGTGCTGCTCCAACTTTCAACTCCACAGGCCAGATGAGGGGTGCAGGGTTGGTCTATGGGCCAGACTGGGCTCCCCATGCCAGAATCGGGCCCTGTAAGGCTTTGACTAGCCCCCATATGCAGGGATCAAGCCCCAGAGCCCCATGCTGCCCCTGCCCAGCCCCATACACCAGGATCAGGTCCTGTGCTGTCATTAGTGCCCAGTTCAACACATGAGGCTATGCTGTCTGGATCTGTTGGCCAGGGACTGAACACCCCTACTCCAGAATGTTAATGGAGATGTAACACATTCTTTATGTTTTAGAAGGAGTAGGTTTCCTTTGAACGTTTAGTTTTTCAAAAAAGAGTATATTTGTACCAGGTAGGCTGACATTTCCCATGATAGAAGGAATATGGAAGGTAACTCTGAGTTGTGCACATGTATACACATGTGCATGTATGCACCACCTAACATTTTTAAGAAGATTAAATGATTAAATCTCTTTGAAAGCAGTGATTCATGAAGACTCTGTGGTCATAATTTCTGGGTGTTATTAATCAGCTTGAATTCATTGTATATTTGTGATTCAATATCTACTTATAAGGTCTTGAATAACGTCAAGAAGAGTTGTTAGACAAACCAGGCTACATTAACACCCAGTTATGTCACTAATAACATATACAAAATGCAAAGTTTGACACGCTTCCCACCTCATTCCCTTATCCCCAGTGAAAAGCCCAGCTGGAAAGTAATACAAAACTGTAGGGTACCTGCAGCACCTTCACCTGGGCTTCTACTATTTTTGGATGGTCTGAAGTGGGCAGCAGTGGATGGCGGTGGAATGTGGTGAAGGAATCCAGATTATGTGTTTATTCAACACATTCCCTGGGCAGAATTTCTAAAAAAAAAAATCTGTGCATTATATATGGATACATGCACATTCAATATCAGTGCATTATACATCCCATACATATAGGTACAGGATATCTGTCATCACTTTGACATTATATACATCCTGGGAAGAGAACAATTAGCCATAGGTTGCATACCTTGTGGGTCTGCAAAAATGTTACCTTCCTTTATGCTGATTAGCACATTAGACATAACTTGTAATCAATTTTAGATGATTTGGGTAAACACTAAACACCTATAACCATGTTCAGCAAGACAAAGGTCCTCCATGAAAAGGTCATTTTTCTGTAGCTTAAAAAAATTGCTGCTGTTTTCTAGGTGTAAAGCACCAAGACTCACAGAATTCTTTCTTGGCATTTTTGAATGCGCCTACCTCTGCTCTGGATCAATTTGAAGTAAGTGTGCAGCCATCTGAATATCTTTCGCAGTACCGGAAAGAGCGTATTTTTGATGATGTGGATAGTTTGCATATGTGTTTACAGGTTACTGCTGTATTTAATCTCTTTTTCCATCTACATTTTGTGTATAATTTTAATGACAGTTAATGGTAATGGTTTATTATTGTTTATGTCATTTTTCTTCTCGTGAAAAAATGGTAAGTACAGTCAGTTCTTTTAAATATTCCAGTATGTTGAAATGTTCCCAATTTCTTAGTGTATAAAAGCAGGAAGGTATTAAGATGGCCTTCCATCATTTAAAAAATAGCTAATGCAAATTATATCTTTCCACACTCATTATTAGATCAAGCACGTGGTAGATTGAAAAATGAGAAAAAACGCATAAATGGAAACGTACAGTTCGCACTTTCTCTTACCAAAAGCAATGTAAAATTTCTAGGAGTGAGATATTGGTTCTGTTTAACTCAGTAACAAAACTCCCATTGACTTAAAGGGAAACCAAATTGTTCTCCTTACTGTTATATCATAGTCTAGAATTTGCTGTGGGCCTCCCATTGATGTCAGTGGAAGATACTCAGAGCCATCTGTAATACAGCAGAATTTGAGCCCTAAAATTTAAGGGGGGAAAAAATCTTGTCCCTTTTTTCTAATGCATATTTACAGTGGTTGAACTCCAAAGAATTCTATACTTACGTTCACATTTATTTTGTTTTGTATTGATCTATCATGCTATTCTTAATACATAATCCTGTCAGAGTACAAAAATGTTATATTGAGTAAAGGGTTGAAAAAGCATTAATCTGCTTTTATATGAGTGGATTATAGATTAATTGTCTAAGAAACAAAAGGCAATTAACAAATATTTTTGCTGCTTTCATGGATATAATTGTTTTCTGGCATGAGTCATTTACAATTTTACTTTAATCATTTTTGCAATGCTGTGGCATTATTATTTGCTTTTGCTTAATAGTTCTCTTCATCCATCTCTTTCTGTTTCTTTACTGCTGTGTTCATTAAAATAGGATTCCTTTTCTTCTTCTTCTTCATCCTCATTGATTGATTTTATGGATGACGTAAGTCTTTGATCTCCAAACAAGTAAATCCCCCCAATAAAAAGAGATTAGTTGGTTGTTCTGTTAAATTCAGCCAGTAATGCAGTCAACTTTCATAATGGTATGATTTCAAATACATTGCATTCTAAGCACAGAGTTCTATTTCTAATATATCTATGGCCATAAATGTAGATAAATATACAGTTTAACTGTGTCTCTTTCCCTCTTTAATGCATGGGATTGACATTTCTCATTGAAAAATGCTTTTGCATTGTGGGGAAATGCTGTGATTTGTCCATTTTAAGGGTTTATCCACTAAGAAGCCTCCTATTTTATCCTTAGTCCTGAAATCCTTAACGATGATGCTTAATGAATTTCAGTTGGTTGTTGCATATTATATTCACTCTCCCTAATGTTTTTCTAGCAGTTTTCTGGTCACTTTAACCACTGTATTTTTTCTGCATACTGATTATTTTTGGAAGGGGTGGGGTCCCTAAAATAATAAATAGATTTTGACTTCTTAAAATATGATCTTATTGCTAGAATTAATTATGCAGTGAGTTTGTTACATTTTACCATATCCAGATTGACCATAGCAATTTATTTATGTTTTATTGTGGAATTTATGTTCGTGATGTGGGGAAAAATATGGAAAATAGTTATGCTTGTAGGTTACTTACTTAGTTACTGAATCATTTTAAAAGCTGTAAATTGACTGCATTATCTATTTTCTAGATCCAAGTGGTAGACTAATAGATGTAAATATTTAGAAGTCTTCTCTCAAAATATATACCATTCTCACTCTTTATAAAGCTCTCTATTATAACACTGTTTGGTAAAAAAAACAAAAAATTGTGTTCCCAATTTCATTAGAATGCATTATGATTAACTGTGTTGTAAAAAATCCATTATAAAATTGAAATGGGCATTTTATAAGAATAAATAAAGAGGGTGTAGTGTCCAATCCCACCCTGACAAACATATCTTCTGTTCACAACCAAAAGCTATGAAAAATAATGTTTTTCTTGTAATTTTTACTTGTGTATTGATATTCTCTGTGGTCTCAGGCCATGACTGTGGACAGGGTGTGAGTGTATATTTGTGGTACTATGTTAAAAGAATTAGATAATAACTTGTATTACGCTGAGAAAAGCCAGAAAGGCCAAGTCCAGACATGCAGGGGCATGTGTTTGCAGCAGCACAAATACTACATTCATAAATTTGTGCCGCTACTTTGTGCCTCATTACATGCCCCTACACATGCACTTTGTTGCAGTACACATTGTCCTGCTTTGGGCAAACTGCCCTTGCCCAGCTACTCCTGACTCCTGGCATGCTAAGGCAGCCAGGGCACAAATGGAGCAGTAGAGACACTGTGACTGGCAGGGGACACTCTGACTGCCACTGGAGGACCAAGCCTCTGTTTGTTCCAGCATGCACTATTTTCCCGTACTCTGTGCCACTTTTTTTTTTGCTACTGGGAAATCCTGGTAGCAAATTTTAACCCCTCCTGCAAATTTGCAAATGGGGCACATTTTAATGTTCCACACATGCAGTTTGTGGTGCCACAAACCACACATGCCTGCGTGTACATGCCTGCATGTGTGGATGCAGCCAAAGAGTTGCCTTTCTGACACCTTTGAAATATTCTTATGTCCAAAGATACTAATATGTAATTTACCCTCTTGTTAACATTATAATACATCTTGAACATCATATTGCTCTATTTGGGTTGAAAAGGAGTGGTCTACTTGGTGGGAAAGCATTAAGCAAAGGTCAACCGGTGCATCTTTCCCTTTAATAAACCATGAAAAACACATATTACACCCTTCTCAAAATATTTTAGATGAGTAATGAAGTACATGTTAGGGAGTATAGTTAATACTTTAATTTTTGTTTAGAGGGAACTAAAGGTAATTATCATTATCTTGTTAGTCTTCCAGTATTTTATTCTCAGGCTTGTAAACTTACTTATAAGAGACATGAGTAAATATGAAATCGCGCGCGTGCGCGTGCGCGCACACACACACACACACACACACACACACACACACACACACACACACACACAGTTGAAGTAGAGGCCTTTATAAGGGACTAAAGAATGACATCAGAAGAGTGCACAGGATGGGGGGACTAACAAAAGTATACTCATACATGAAATATTTGCTTTGTTCTTAATGCTCTTTTTTCTGCAGACCTGAATATGACATTTTCATTTATTTGATTGTGATTGAATTTATCCAGTAAGACAATAAACACCTCTTCTGAGTTGGCAAAATCAAACAGAAATTGTAATTAAAAATGTAGTTATAAGTAGCCATGTTCTGTGCTGTAGGTCCGTTGAACACATTTTAAATTACTATATTAATCAGAACTTAAATAATAAAAATACTATCACTACCTTAGACTTAGACCCTGGCCTCCATCCTCTATACAGTCTCTCTGAGAGTGGTATCTTTGAAGAAGAATGCCTTTTGTGTAGTGTGTCCTAAAAGGTGTGCCAGTTCTAGGGCCAAAATTGCTGCTTAATAAATCTGAGAGTACATGGAAAGACAGAGCAGTTAGTTAGAGTTGTTCAAAAAATCGCAGTCCCTCCAACATCACTTGAGGTTTGGGGCAGCCTCTCTAGTGTTTGGGATCAGATATGAATACATGTTTTAAATTGCTGGTATCCTCTCCTCCTTACACACATAACCTTTGCGCTTCACCGTGAAATGCTGCTGACTGCATAACTAGGTATGGGCAAGAGGAGCACCAGCTGAGGGGGCATGTGTGGCACTGATGTTGCAGCAGTGCCCCATGTTCAGGTTGCTCCCACTGAAGCAGCAGCAGCCAGCACTGCTGCAGGTACAGCAGCCCCTATGTAGGGAGGTAAGCACTCAACACACCTAGTGTCTTTTATTTGGCACCTACCTTTTTCACCTCCCCCACCCACAGCATCAAAATTCCTAGTTACACCTCTGTTAATAGCTGAAGAGCTCAAGATAGTGAGCCAGCTGAGCCCTTATTTTACACATTTTGCAAGTCTGCTGGAGTCTCTAATCACATGGGGGTAAATCAACATAGAATTTGGCCAACTAATATATATATGCACTCTGGCTTGTATCTCTGACATCCAAATAACTTGGATGTTTGCAGCCAGTAGTAAATTTGTTTAGTTTGTTTTAATTTGTTTTAGCCAGAAAGACTATAATTTCCCTATATCTTCTGGAGAAAACTAAAAATATAAGTCTGTGCTCCAGCTGCTGCTGACTGGAGTTTACAGATGCCTAAGAAGCAAGAATGATATTTTGCTGTGCTGACAATTCACTTTTACTTTTGGTTCAAAATAGTCCTCCATGTATCAACAGAGGGAAATATTTGGTTGGAGCAGCAGGTAATCTGAAGGCTTTTGTGGTTCTTTCTCTCTCAATTGAAAGCCTTCTCAAGCTTTGTAGGAGTTGTATCTCTTACATGTCCTCAACCTCAGGGCTAAACTATAGAGGTCTCATTTTCACCAAGAAACACCTTGTATTAGCAGCGCTATGCCTTTTGCAAGGCTTAGACTTACGCATCTCACCATCCCCTGAGTGATTAAATCTGATACGTTATTCATGTATTATCCTATGATCAGTTCTCATTCAAAATTCCCATTGGCCTTAGTAGGAGTAGTGCATGAAGCACTGACTGAATCTCGCCCTCCTACACTGTCTCTGTTTGAAACACATGCTCACAACTTTGAAATGTTCAATGGTGGTTCACAACCTTTTATAGTAAAAACCCTGGCTGTGCCTACACACTGATCATTCCTGACATTTGGAAGAATTACTGTGCGTGTTGGTATATCAAATTAAACATACTGGGCCTCCAAGAGAAGAAACTATCCATCTCTTGGATAGTGCTAAAGATATGAATTGTGCGAGTCATGCACAGGTGGTTTTATGGAGTCTGCATTGTACAGCTTTATTGTCCAGTGTAAAATTGAAGGCTGTGAAATAACTTTCCCTCCTGTGTTCTTTTGTCTTGGTGTTCCTTCTTATGAATGACAGTCCCAAAGTAGAGAAAACATTGTCTTTCAATTACTTGTAACACTGTATATAATTGTGTGTGTATACACGTTGTCTATAAATACAGTGATGGATATTCTGAGCTGATACGTGTGCTGTTGTGTTAAGCTTTGTAACATGTTCTCCTCCTCTCTTTGTTAAAGCGCTCTCCTTCCTGTATTCCAGCTAACAAAGGCAGACGTGTAAGAGGCTGTCTTACTCTGTGTGGCCCTTTATTTTTGCCTGTGGCGTACATGACTGTTGAATGTGTAGACCATTCTATGTTGACTATTTATGGCTTGTATTTTACTTCACTGCATGTCTTGTGCTGCTGCTGCTGCTGCTGCTGCTGTGCCTTTTCATTGTTTTAAGGCTGTGAGTTAAAAGCTTTAGGAATACTGCATTTGGGAAAACTCTGTGCCCATAATGCCATAGTAACTACAGATGCTGGGTTATTTCTTTGGATTTGAAAGGGAAATGTTGCAAAAGCTCATTATAAGAATGGATCAGATAGAAGCACATTAGGGAAAGATGAGCAGAGTGGGGGCCTCTTTGCTTCCACTGCATTAGGAAAGCTCCCTGGGAGAGATTTGCAGGAATTTCCTATAGATAATAGACATTTGGCAACCAGGAGACGTATTCAGGAAATATTATGGTCTGGATATGCTTTCTTTAAAAAATATGTATGTAATGGAAAACAGGTAATTAAAGTAAGCTGTAGTACCCAAAAGGTCTGGAACATTTGTTGGAGAAGCACAAACTAAGGTGTATTCTATTAAAAATCTTTAAGCACTGAGGTATTTTTAAATTTGTAATGGATATATACATATGATTATATGGTATTGAGCATTAAATGGAATACAGATAGATCCACATATGCACATTCAAATATCTAGGTAAATATAACAAAATACAATTGGAACTAGCAATGATAGTAATATTCCATAATAAGACTAATAATCTTTAATCTCTCTAATCATAACATTAATGGTACAGTTAAATCCATAAATTATTATATTTTCTTTATCAGTTTACAGTGCACAGTGTTTCCTACTATTTAAGCAGTATGGCTCCGATTCAGAAGGCCTATTCAGCATACACTTAAATGCTTTGATCAACAAGAATCAACTTAAGGACCCACTTACATGTTTTACTAAACTGCAGCCTGTAGGCTAAATCTTATCGCCTTTAAGGGATGCAGTCTTGTGGAAGTCACGAAGACTATTTTCATGAAAAATGGCTGGAGAAGTGGTTCACACAATATGTACTTTTAACAATCCCTTAGGCATATAGTGGTTTAAGAACAATTTAAAGATCTTAATATGGTCAACTCAGGCCTTAAATACTGGTGCAGCCAGCTTGCTTTTGTGCTAATTAACCTTAATGGGTGCTTGTACACATGATGAAATTGTCCTTTTTAGCGGTTTAATCGTGTCACACTTTACATGTGCAGTGGTGTATTGTGCTTAATTTCTTCACACTGTACATGTGGCATGGCATATTGTGAATTAAATGACTTTGTTATGTACCAAGCTAAAACACATCCCAATGTATATTAGTTTGCTATGTAACAAATTGCAACGATACATCCATCCACAGGACTCCCTGCCTCAGGCATGCTCTGCAGGGGGGGAAAAAAGTGGTGAGAGGCTTGGTGGGCTTCAAGCACCCCATGGACTGACCTCTACAGCTTTCCTGCTACCTGGGACTGCCCAGGAACATGCTGGCTTGCCCCTGGGACAGTGCCAGAAGATGGCAGGAGGAAAACTGGGTGACCTGGAAGCACAGTGTATGGGGTGCTGGAAGCCTGGGCGTGTTTGGGGAAGCTCAGGCTCGGTGGGCTTCTAGCACCCCATGCACCGTCCCTGCTACCTCCAGCCATCAGCACACCCAGCCACTCTCGTGCCACCTTCCTGCGCTGCTCCAGGGCGTTCCTGGGTGGTCCCAGGTGATGGGAAGGTGGCAGGGATAGTGCATGGGGCACTGGAAACCTGCCAAGACTCTCACCACTTTTTTTCCCCCACAGAGCCTGCCTGCAGCCAGAGAGCAAGCTGCTGGCTGGCTGAACAGCCCCTGTGGAGGGCCCCAGTCCTTCCCTCCATGGGGGCGGCACCCCCAGGGCCACCTGGGTGGGCTGCTAGCAGTGAGGTGCTGCCCCAGCTTGGAGGCAGCACCCAGCCCAATCCAACTGTTCCCCGAGCCCGAGTTGGGGCAGCACCCGGCTTGTTAGCAGCCGACCCAGATGGCCCTAGGGAGCACTGCCACCACAGAAGGAAGAACCAGGGTCCCCCGCAGCTCAGGAGCCGCTGGAAGTTCACACCCTGGCCATGGGCAAGCTTTGCCAGAAAAAATAGAAAAAGGATCAGGTCCCTCACTGTAGCAGTGATGGAGGCCCCTAAATTGAAACGGTGGGTTTTAAATCTTCACAATTAAAAACCCACCAATTAAAAACCCACCATTTAAATTTAGGGGAACTGAACTCCCGTCAGGTGTACAAGCAGCCAGCAGTAGGAACTAAACTGGAACTACCGCACTATCCAGTCAGCTAAGGCCCTGCTCCTGATACAGTATCTTTTGAATGGCAAAGCTGTCTTTGCTTTCAGTAGTGCTGGGTCAGGTACTAAGTTAATTTTAATTTTCATAACTGCAGTTGCTACTAGTACAGTAGATACCTACTAAACACAAAAAGTTTTATAGATCTCTCCAGGAAGATTTCATAGTTTCTACTACAATTGCAATACCTCTTTCAAGGGACTCAGCTTTGGTATGCAAGCATTAGGTTGAAGGGGAAGTTTATCAATCCAGAAGATTCCATTCTTTCGTATTACATTGATTGAACTGAAATATGTCACTCCAGATTAGATCTCCAAATTTAACTTCAAGAGTACATCTCTTTCCCACTATAACAAAAATCACTTGCAATTTAATTGTTTGGGTGTTTTAAAAATTGGTGCCAGGAAAAAGCTCTTACTTCTGGTTATAGAGGTTTTGAGTAGGTGCCAAACAGTGCCATATTTGGATTTTTAAATACCTGAAGGGACATTGTCACATAGCCTAAAATGTGATTACTTTAAAGCATCAGAAGTTTTTGGTGTTACTGTGGGTTTGGAGTTACAATTTGCACCTAAGCACAAAAAATGTTTGCTTATTGCTAATAATTGCCGAAATGCTTGAAACACATGATCTACATGTAGCAAACAGGTGTATTGGTAAGTAGGACTTTTTACCTTTCAATATGAAAAGGGAGTGCATGGACCAGAACAACTTACAGTCATCTTACTCTGTCTTGGGTTTCTTAAGCTGAAGAGCATTCTCCACCAACCACACTAAAACAGTTCAAAGCATTTATAAAAATTAGAAATTAGAATACTTCCCCATAGTTTATAAAAATCTACAGTTACACCTGTTCACTACTATGAATATAGTTTTAAAAACTGCACATGCATGTTCCAGGCTGGTGGCTTGGGAATGGAACACTTCTTGAAGGGTAATCCAATTTGTGGAGTCTTTTGGTGCTGAAGGAAAGCCATTCCAAGGTGCAATAGCAGCTTCAAAAAAGTTAATATATTGTTTCTGGGCAGTTCTTTCTTGTATTACCAAGGTAGCTGATCACAGGTGACCCAACAAGAATGTTCAGTGAAATAGAGAGGAAAGATTGGAAAAGACATCTTGTAATACATCTGTAGAATACACGGACATGCAATCTAGCCCCACTATTCACAGTAGTTTGGTTGTTAATAGAGAGAGAGTCATCTAGTTATCCTGCCGTTTAAAATATATATATATAGAGAGAGAGAGATAGGAAAGTTCACCAGAGATGGAGATGCATTGTTTTCATTTTTTCCAAGATTTTCAGTTATATTGACTACAGTCCAGTGCAACAGAACAAGATGTAATCTTGCTGTCATACTCTGTTATTTATTTCAGTGGCTCAGTTAAGATTAATCATCATTGCAACTCTCTACTAGTTGCATCCATGCTATGGATGCCTTTACTTTCTTGCAATTCAAAAATGCATAGAAACATCTCCCATAAAACACTCCTTTCTGTAGAAAAAAAAGTGGTATCCCTAACAGAGGAAGTGTATAATTTCTGAGTTTAGTGATTTCATAATAATTTAGTAATCAGTAACTGAAAAAGAAATGCAAAGGTGAGCATTTTTCATTACTTGGAGGGGATTTGGAAAGGAGATGGGGTTGCCAAACTGGAATAGTATTAATAGTATGAATGATCCAGTATGAATGATCCAGTCCTTAAGAATTGTCAAAGAGGAAAATATTCAAGATATTCAATGTTTTAACTATTTTCTTACAATTTTTTCATTAAATTTTGTCCAAATTGCATTGCCTTAGGAAAAGTGAATTTTCTAATTTAAAATACTTGCATCTTTCCAGTTGAAGTCCAAATCTTCACTGGGATCATTGTACTAGTTCCCAGTCTCATTGAACTCATTCTGCTTTCATATGGGCTGTGTAGGGACTGATACTGGGAATCTTACTGCAGTCTCTTTATCAAAGAGAATAGAATTTGAAAATACAGTCTAATTCGGCCTTTGAAAATGGTGTGTAATCAGCCTCTGCAAGAGCTTCTTAGAGCTCAGAGCTTGCAAACACTTGCACGTATGCTTAACTTTGGGCATGTAAATAGTCCCATTGAAATCTTAGATTAGTCATTTTTTGGAAATTCAGTTTTTGAAGCCCTTTACATTCCTTACAAAAATGGTTAAAATTGTAATTATATGATTGTTCTCTCTCCCAAACTCTACTGCTCCATCTCTTCCTTGAGAAAAGTAGTGTGTTAGTAAAAGTCTTGATGTCTTGATTTCTTTTTGTTTGTTTTTCTTCTGACTTGTTTCCCTAGATTGATTCAGTTGAGAACTTCACATTATCTAACACGCCTTCACGGGATGAAGATATCAAGTCTCACCTCCATTCAAGATCTAGGTCTCCTTCCACAGCTAGTGACATTGAACCAATTGAGGTACTCGGTGCTGATGCTTTGATCTTTTACTCCTAAACTAAGTGCTTATTTCATGCAAAAATGACTACTGCAAATAGTGTTTATTCTCTTTGAGTTTAGGGTGACATTCACTCTAGTGCAGAGGCTTTTTGCAAGTATGGGCTATTCATGGATTTAAACATGGGCCTTCCTCACTGTGATGAATACCACCTGATTTGAGTTGGTCTAATAAAAGATATCAGATTTACCCAAAGAACCTTGTCTACCTGGATCATATTAAATTTCAAGAAAGATTGGGGCTGAGGAATGTACATGGAATGAACTGATAGGTACAATATGTCCTCCGTCCTGGTATATATTTTTATATATTTAAGAAGTCTGTACTAAAAGTTAACACTATAGTTTTGTTTTATGACTTATTCTGAATCATAGTTCAAAACCATAGCAAGGCAAACTATAAATAAGTCTCAGTGCCTATAATAGGGTGCCTCCTGTATCACTTTGTTGAAATAATTTAAATCTTGACTGGATAAATATATTTTAAAGCAGAAAATTAGGAGAGATTCAGTAAAGGTGAAATAAGTTTAATTAGTATTAAATTAATACGTTTTCTCTAGACTATTTCTTGACACCTGTAAGAGAGAAATCATACATTTCAGTTATTATGCTGAGTGTGGTGGGGCACTAGGTGTGCCTGCCACTTTAAGGCCCTGGAGCTGGCAGCCTCCAAGTACCTAATGAGGGCAGCCATTTTAGGCTCAGGGCTGCCTATATAAACAAGTCAGTTTGGCTGCTCGTGGAGAGACAACAACATCACCTGGCCTGAGGGCTGCTGAGTTTCATCTGGAGGTAAGGGAGGAGCTGGAGGGAATGGTAGGAGGCTCCTGGTCCTGGGTACGACCGAAAACTACACCCTGCCGGGAGTGGGTGGCCTGGTGGGGCTCCCAGTGGTGTGGGAGCCCCCAGGTAATGCCAGGCCATTGATCACCCTGGTGAAAGGCGGATTGGGGCACCTTAACCCCTAGCCCTCACCTTAGGGTGGGTCGCGGTACACCGGAGGTAGTTGTGGGGGTTTGAGACCCCGAGGAGGAGAGTTGGGGCCAGGCATGGCTACGGCCACCTGAGCCCACCTGTGGAGGGAAGCCCCGAGACCCCAAGTAAAGGGGGCGTTACAAGCAGTGTGGAGCCCCCAGTTTGAGGAGGGCAGCATGTGCAGCCCCCAGTGTGAGGGGGGCAGAGCTGTGGAACCACAGCGAGAGGGGGCAGTGATCAGAAGCCCCAGAGAGAGGGCGATGTGAAGCCCTGTGAAGGGAGAGTGGGGCTCAACCAGAGGGTGAGAGAGCTGAGTCCTGACCCCAGTAAGTCCTGCACTGTTGGGAGGCAGAGTGTGGGTCAAAGATAACACTAGTCATAGCACCACGACCTGCTACCCGGGGGGCGGGGAGTGAGAGTCCCCTGTGAGACCCTGAGGCACCAGTCATGATGTGAGGTACCCCAGCTCCCCACGTCCATAAAGGAGGACCCAGAGAGGGGGACCCTGGGATAAGAATATGGGTCATACATCAGGGCCTGCCAGAGCTTCCCCTGACTGGCCCAGGTGGGGGCCAGGACCAGGAAGGTCAGAAGGGCAAGGAGGGCCACTGAGAGGGATGCCCCAAGAGCCTGGGGTCCTGACTGGCCTGGAGGTGGGCCGGGGCTAGTGTGAGCCGAAGGTCCCAGTGAGGGGACCACACCTGAAGGGGAACTGATGGCAGGGTGATATATGGCCTGGTATGATGGCGGCAGAGTCTGCCTGAAGGGAGGAACCCAGGTGGGGTCCTACAGTAGCATTCTGGGCCCCATAGTGGGGGACTGGCGTGTATGAGAACATCATGATGTCATCAGCAAGGCTTGGGCTGCAGTGTAGGGGAGGAATGAAACTGCAGATAGCGCCCCCTAGCAGCAGGGCAGAAAATGGACAGCCTCCCGCTTAATTACATCTATTAATTAATCAAGACCAAGGTATGGCGGGCAAGAAGGCAGGCAGTTAGCCCAGGAACAGGTGGGCGGGCCTCGCGGAGATCAGCCCCAGTAGCCCCCCTGTTACACTGAGACCTACAAATTCATTTTATGTTACTGAGTTTTTCCTTTATGTTAATCAGTATGCCTATTGTAGTTGCTTTGTAATTGGTTTTTGTAGCCTTTTGGTTTTAGTCAGGAAGCTTTTGATACTATATGACACTGATGTCTTACTTCTTTTTGGGGGGGTTGCGTTTAGGTCACAGATCATCCTCCACGTTCAGTTCACACACCAACCATGAGGACAGCGTATATTGGTTCAGGACTCTCAGCACCAAAGGTAGTCAGTCAAACCGTCTAAAAACTTGTAATGAAGGAGGACAGATTTCACTCCAGGACAGAAGATTAGGAAAATTGTTAGAAATCCTAGAAATGCTGGTGTGGGAGGAAGAATTATATTAAATAGTAGCTGATTTCAAATAAAAAGACCACATGGAGATTATTATGGGTATTTGGCCACAGGAAAATTATCAACTTGGACCATTAGAGAGAATTTACAGAACTAGGAAGTAAAGGAAGAAAAAAATATAGAGAACGATAATGGGACAGTTTTCATCTGCTTTATTCATCTGTCTAAATGAGAAGCTTTCTTCTAGATGAAGAAATTCAGGCTTAGTCATGGAATTCACTGTTTGTAAGAAAGAATAGTGCAAAAAGCTCCATACTACTTTAATCATATACATAGACTGTGCTGGGTGTGGCTGGAAGCACCCATGCCTGGGTGCTTACATAGATCCCTTGCATGCTCCAGAACTGATCCTTTTGCTAGCCAGACATTGTGGGGCCTGCCTGAGAAAGCATTTTTAGGGCACGTGCAAGTGAGCCAGTGAAGGAGCTATGAATTAGTGTCTACATAAATCCAGGACCCTCCCAACAGCTTTTGTAACCAGGGGGGAGAGGGGTAGCACATTACAACTCTGGGTGGGGAAAATGTATTTTTGCTCTTCAGCCTTCCTGCACTCCAGTTGCATAAAGACCATGTACTTGGATGTAATATCAGTCAGAGGAATTAATTTCATCCATGGTTGACAAGTTCCATTAACTCCATATACTCAAACAAGTGGGAAACTATGCATAGGTTTTAAAGAAAGAGTTTACTGCATAAAATTTTCAGAAGTGCCTGAGTGACTTAGGAGCTGAAGTCCCTTCTGAAAATGTTAGCTTCTTCCAGTTAACTGTATTTCTGAAATGATTCCTGGGAACTCTTCTGTATAGAAATACTGTCAGTACAAAAGACATGTATGCTGCAGCTGGTGACTGTGTCAGCATCTTAAACCCATAATGGAAAACCACAAAATAGCACCGAAGTCTACTTAAGCAATGGAATGGACCTGCCTGCAGACCAATATATCATTCTAATGCCATGTTTGAAACTCAGAACAAAAATGTTTTGAAGTTTTGAAACCTTAAGAAAAAAATGACCCTCAGCCTCAGTCTGGTTTTGGGAGTGCACCACCGTGATGCTAAATAATAATTGATTTGTCTAAATGGTCATCCTATATTCAGCTTTCAAGAGCTTTGTAACATGAAGCTTTGTTTCTCTTGAGTTTCAAAAATAGATATCAGCCTGTAGTCAGACAGCCGTCTGGACAAGAATCAAAGAGGCAGTCATAAGAATTCCCTATTTACTCAAACCCAGGATGAAGGGTTTTTCCCCCCAAAAAACCATGGGTTAATAAAAGCCTCATCTTAGATTTGAATACCAGCCTAGAACAGGCAGTGGCTTAGCTCTCAATTCAGCCTGAAGCTTAAAGTCAAAGCCAGATCTGAACCACCGCCTGCCCTTGGCCAGGGTGGCTTGTGGGACAGGGGAGGGGGCATGTAGCCAAGGGAGCATGGGGAGTCCACGTGGTAGGGGGAATGCACAGGGGAAACCTACTTGTGCAGCTTGGGGGAGCATGAGGGAGACCATGCAGCCTGTTCCCCATGCCTCCAGTCTGCTTCCCCCTCCACTGGTTACCTTCTGCTGCAGCTCTAGCCCCAGCTTGTCCAGACCCAGAGCTGCCACTGCTACTTCTGCCTGGCTGGCCTGGGGCCTCCGCCACTATTGAGAGCCCTGGAGTGGGAGCAGAGAGCAGCAAAAGGTAAGCAGTGGAAGGGGGCTGCAGACCCAGGGTGGGGGCATGGGGCCAGGGTCAAGCAGCAGTGTGGGCTGAAAAGAGCAGAAAGCAGGCAGGAGGGGGAAAACAGGTGGGGGGCAGGTGGCAGTGAAGAGCAGGGGATGGGAGGCAGGCACAGGGGCAAGAGGAGCAGGGGACATCGGAGACAGGCGATAGGGGGCAAAAGGCATGAGGAAAGAGAGGCAAGCACTGGGGGGTGCAATTGGTGGGGGTAGAGGTCAGGCACAAGCATAGGGAGATAAGGATGAGCATTCAGGGCAAGGGGAGGAGGAAGCATTAGCAGTCTGGCTCCTTGGCCCCTGCTGCTACTTTCCCTGCCACAGCAGTGAGGGGACAAACTGAAGACAAACTTCCTCTGATTAGATTCTATACATGGAAAATTATAACAAATTTATAATTTTGCATGTATAGAATCTAATTCTTAGGGGGTCTGGGGGGGATCGTCTTAAATTCAAAGTCATCTGGGATTCAGGTAAATATGGTAAATTGATAAATGTCTTATAAAGCCAGATTCAAGGAAATTATATTCCAAGCCATCAAAAAAATCTGAGTAAGGTCTCCCTGCCTCAAGTCATACACAGTATTCATATAGCTGAATGCTCTTTTGCACTCACAAAACATTCAGTAGGAAAGCATTCTCTTTCCCACACCACTAAAGGCTCTGTACTTCTTAGGCAGACCTGGAAAGAATCAGATCTGGAAATACATGCAGGAGCCACGCAGACATCATGTAGACTCTTTGGCAAATCATTGCGTTCTTTAGGACTGTGCAAAGTTTTGGTTGCTGATTTGATTCGGAGGAGATTCAGCCTGATTTGGCGGCCGAATCTCCAAAACTGAATTGAATCAGGAGACCCATTAATCTCTCCAAATCAAATCGGAAGCCTCTAATTCAATTCAGAGAGATTTGGAGAGATTTGATGATTCAGCCATAGACACTGCTTTGTTTTTTCTACATACCTCAAGGTACCAGACACGACTCGTGAATGTTGAGATGGTGGGGTGAATAGAGCGTCCCACAGGAGTGCAGGGGGGTCCCCCACACACTTGACAGCAGACCCAGAAGAGGACCAGAAGTACTTCCAGTCCACTTCCGGGTCCTCTGCAGAGTGTGTGGGGGACCCGCCCCCCCCAGCTCAGCAACTGGTGCCTCTTGGGTCTGGGGGGCACCCGGGGTCCCCCCACAGCTGATCACCGTTTTGGGGGGATGCAGGGAAGTTTCCCCCGTGCGCTCAGCAGCAGACCCAGAAGTGGACTGGAACTACTTCTGGTCCACTTCCAGGTCCACTGCTAAGCACGTGGGCACTCCTGTGGGACGCTCCATCCGCCCCGCCATCTCAGCATTCACTAGCTGCACCTGGTACCTTGAGGTATGTAGAAAAAGCATAAAACTGTGTCTATGGCCAAATCATTGATTCTCCAAATCAGAATCAAATCTTCAGATTCAGCCAAATCAAATTGGGACAGTGATCCAAATCAGCAAATCGAATCACTGTCCCCCAAATCAGGCCAAATCCAAATTGAATACTGCCCACTTCACACACCCCTAATGTTCATCATGCATACATGGGCAGCCACTGGACTTTGCTGTCTTTGTGACTGCATGGCAATCTTGTGGAGCGAGAATGCATTCACTTAATACTGTGCAGGCTCCCAGGAGCCAAGGAGAGGGGAGTCCTTTGAAAATCAGCCTCATGCACTCTCTTACCTTAAACACTTTTTTACCACCAGCATCACAGAATCACCCACCCCTCACATCATGAAACTGAACTCTGTTATCCACTGTAGTAAACAAGTCAGAATTTTAAACTACGGTGATGCATTCCAGTATGACTTTTCTCTTCTGGCAGACTTTCTACCTTTATAATAAAACTCCTGCCTGCCCAGCAGCTCAAAAAATGCAACCTCTAAAGTGTGCTTCTACAACAGGGAGACATTTATAGACAGACCATACCCATCTTCCTTTAAAAAATGGCAGCCAATTTATGTACTGGGACAAGGTGCAAGTCTAAATATTTTTTTCCAGAGGACAGTACCAAGAGAAATTAGTTGATAGCAATCCATAATATTTTAATTTTTTAAAGAATGGGTAACTAAAATAAGGTCAATTTTCAGCTCAGGAATTATGTGCACAATCCTAATTTTTGCTACCACAAGATTTAAACCCCACATACATTTTTCATTAGGTCTGTCTGCACAACAAGTGATGGTAGTATGTTGCTAGCAGCTAACATCTGTATCTGTTTGTTTCCCAGCCTAAGGCCCATCAGTTTGTAGTGAAATCTTTTAATACACCTACAAAATGCAATCAGTGCACATCTCTGATGGTTGGTTTGATAAGACAGGGCTGCACCTGTGAAGGTAAGTCTAACCAAAATAAACATGAGTTTAAGTGCCTATGGTCTTACAGATGGTGTTATTGAAAACTATGCAAGCAATTTTACTATTATGCTGAAATAATCCATTCTGTAATGCTTACCTTTAAATTATGTTTTCTAGTCTTATTGTTGTCTTGTAACAGTGGTAGCTAAGCATTTTGGGTGGGTTACAAGGAGAATTTTGTGCAATGGACTGTATAATTAGCTGAAATTGGTCTGCTGGGAAATATATAGAACATAATAATTGATGGTGGAAAAGTTTACCTTAATTTAGTTTAATGGAACCAAAGACATATACAGAAGTCAAATGTACTGATGATAAAATGAATTTGGCATGTGAGAAAAATAAAAGGAAAATTGCCATTCAGTTAGCCATTTTAAATTCCTTCAAGATTGAATTAATTTAGATTTATTTGTAGCCAATATAGTTTTCAAGTCCAAAAATTTACAGCTACTGATGAAGAACTTTACTTTTCTTCCTCTCACTATAGAAAGCTTTACTGAAATAATTGAATTACTAGCCAATTGAATGTGCTTCAAAAGAGTTACTTCCTTTATACACGTTATTGTCCTAATTTTCAAATCGCATAAGAAGACAGATTTTATGTGAGTTATTGATTCCTTTTTCCTCCCCCTTTCCTGGTAAGTTTGTGGATTCTCATGCCATGTGACCTGTGCAGACAAGGCCCCAGCAGTGTGCCCAATTCCACCTGAACAGACCAAGGGTCCTCTGGGGATAGACCCACAGAAAGGTATAGGGACTGCATATGAAGGTCATGTCCGAGTAAGTATCAGGAGATTGTTTTGAGCTGCTTGGGGTTAACTGCCCTGATTCTAAGCTTTAAAAGTCTATTTCTCAATAAGTCTGCATGTGTGTCTATGTGAGTGTGTGTTACTGGATGTATATACACACATGCATGCACATGTACATATTATATATATGTTTTTATTTTAAAGTGGCAACCTTGGAGGTTGAAGATCTCTAGTTATTCACAGAACAGATATAGCACTGGCAGCAGCAAACTTATTTCATTCTGTTGTGTCAATGTGCTCTCTGAACCTACCTGGGAGAGACTACCTCTAACCTGAGAGACTGTTTCAGTCTTCAGGTCAGTCTCTGGACTTTTGCATTATGATGGTAGTTCTTTCTGTCTTAGTTATAGTGGTAGTTTCCTAATTATATGGGCACTGGATTGAGAACACCAAACAGCTACCAGGTGTTACCTCATTTTCTACCAAAGCCAGTGACTTAGCGTTGTAAGATTTTATTTCTCTTCATATCAGTATCTTCTGGCATTTTTACACCTGCATGCGTTGCAGTGCCAGGTGCTTTGAAAAATGCACTGAGAAAATGGTGGTAGCACGCTTTTGTACTAAAACATCTTGGAGGTGCTTTAGTTCAAAAGCACACCGCCACCATTTTCTGCGCACTGATGCACATTTTACCACTTACACAACTGCACATGACGCAGTACAATTCACTTCAGTTCACAGGTGGAGCAGACTCAATTAATTGAGATTGCTTCAAAGTGGTGGATCTCTGGCACGTGGCTGGAAAAAAGTATGTGTATAAATGCCCTTTGTTTGTTTTTCATGAGTTTCTGGATACGGAAGAATGAGGTGGGGACAGGTTTTTGAAAATACAATGTGGAGTTTAAATCTGATACCTGGGCTCCACACCTGGGCCACTTTTACACATGACAGGGGTTTAATCCCCTAAATTGAAACGGTGGATTTTTAATTAAAGTGATTAAAAATCCACCGTTTAATTTTGGGGCTTCCATCACTGTTACAGTGAAAGGCCCAGTCCTTTTTTTTGTAGACCCTGCCCGTGTCTCCCACAGCCAAAGGGTAAGCTGCCAGCAGGCTCAGCAGCCCCAGAACTGCGGGTGGGACCCGGTCCTTCCCTCTGTGGTAGCAGCACCTCACAGGGCCACCTAGGTGGGCTGCTAGCGGGCTGGTGCTGCCTGGAGGGCACTACCACCATGGAGGGAAGGTCTGGGCCCCCCGCAGCTCAGGGCCCACCAGTAGCTCACCCACTGGCCTACAGGGGAGGCCGGTGGTTTCCATGGGCGGGGGGCAGAAGATCAGGCCCCATGCTGATCTTTTTTTTTCTCAGCAGAGCCTGCCCGCACAAGCTGCTGCTGAGCCATGCAGCCCCTGAGCTGCAGGGGGGCCCAGTACTTCCCTCCGCAGTGGCAGCACCCCTGGGGCCGCCCAGGAAGGATGCTAGCTGCATGGGTGCTGCCCCAGCTTGCAGGCAGCACCTGCCAGATCCAACTCTTCCCCAAGCCCACCACGTGGATGTGGTTTACATAACAACGTAGCAAATTCATTTAAATCATAAAACCCCCCACACTTGTCCAGCGTTACACAATTAAACTGCAAAAACAGCTGGTTTTTGTCACAAATACAAGCGGCCCTGGTTCTCATGCCTTTTACTGAATGCATGTAATGTCGTTTATGCTGCCTGTCATATTTCTGAACAGGAGAACAAACAGCGCATTGATTTATTAACAAAAATAATATTTGCATTGTATTTTTTTTATGTCTTTTTTCTTTTGAATATACAAATTCGTTGAAAGTTGATCAGCTGTTTGTTTTACTATAGGTTCCTAAGCCAGCTGGAGTTAAGAAAGGTTGGCAGAGGGCTCTGGCTGTGGTCTGTGATTTCAAACTCTTCCTGTATGATGTAGCAGAAGGAAAAGCATCCCAGCCCAGCGTGGTAGTGAGTCAGGTTATTGACATGAGGTAAGCTGTTGAGTGCTGAGAGAACACAAACTTCACTTTTTTATCTTTCAAAGGAAGGTTATACCCAGAAAGGTTTATCTCCAAGCAATATTTAAAGCTAGAACACATTTTCCAATAAATTCCATTTCTCCTGAGAACACTTATTTTCAATTTAATTCAATGAACACTTAGGTGAAACTTCGTTACTAGGTGTAACCTACCACACAAGGTCTTAGCCAGAAAGAAAAGCTAATCTTTTTGTTATCATTGTTCTAGTTTGTCCTTATCAGCTTTGATTTAACTTGGTTATAGCAAATGGCCCTTAATGATCGCAATTGAAGTGTGGTCTCTGCTGCCATACAAATACCCTTTGTGTTCTTACATCTCAGTATGCAGCAGTATGAAGTGACAACAACAGCAAAGATTTTGACAAGTGGTTTCTCAGGCCTCATACAGGCATTCATTTTCTCCTGGACTAGTTGCTGCTCTCCCAGGAGAAACCATGAGTATACAGATATTCAGGCTTTTAATCTCAGAGTAAAAATGGCCACTCTGGGAGTAAAATAACCTGGGAACATTCAGAGTCAGTCACTCCCGAGAGAGTGAATATCTGTACATGCCATAGCTTCTTTCAGAAGAACACATAATCCTCCAGGATTCCTATCCCACCCACTCACCCTAGGAGACAGTGTGTCACTTGCTGAATTCTGCTGCTCTAGCAAGTAACCCCTTCACAATCCACACATTGTGCTGCATGGGAACACAGGCTGATCATGAGCAGTTTGGGTCAGCCAATCAGGGGTCCCCTATGCACTCCATCTGTTGCCAGGCAGACTAAGAGTGCCTGCAGATCACATTGAGATGTGTGTACAAAGTCTGCCCACAGCTGCATAGTGTCAGAACTGCAAGCTCTCCACTATTCAAGGCCTCAGCATTCAAATCATAGGTGGACAAAGAAAATATAATTTTGGGGGGCTGAGCGTGCATGTGCATGTCCCCCCAGCACGTAAGTCTGTTGTGGGGAAGAGGTAGGGTGGCAGATCGAGGCCCCCGTGGTGAGGGAGGGAGTGGGGCAGAGACAGGGGGTAGGGGCTGGGGTGAATGGAGCCCCGGGGCAGGTTGTGGGATGCTGCAAGACCAGGTGGCTTATCCAGGGGTGTGGGAGGGCTCCCACCATTGCATGCACCACCAGACCAGGCACAGGGGGTACATGCTGCCTGATCTGTGTGTGGGGCAGAGGTGGCTGCCACTACAGGCTGGGGTCTGCATCCTGCGCGTGCCTTCGGTGGTGGCGTTGCACAGGGTGCAGAGCCCACGCAGCAGCAGCAGCTGCCTCTACACCACACACAGATCAGGAGGGACGTGTTTGGGCCCTATTCACCCCCCTCCCCGGCAGGGGCCTCAATTTGCCCACCCCCCATGCCTCTTCCCTCCCCTCCCCTGCACCACTTCCCATCCACACATTTACCCGCTGAGTGTAGGATGGCCCGGGCTAGGCTGAGTTCCTGGCCACCTGCAAGCTACGGCTGTTCAGCTGTGTGCGCACCCCTCCCCCCGCTGCAGCCACCCAGAGCCTGCAACCGGCCTGCGTGCTTTTGGGGTGGCTAAGCCCCATTAGCCCCAGCTTTCTGCCACCTATTATTCAAATGCTTATGTGGATCTGGGTAAGTTTCTGTACCAGGAGAACAGACCTGGGAGAGAGCTCCCAGATTATCCGAATGCATGTAAGCAGCCTCTGATACCAAAAGTGATAGCATCAGACTACTGCTAAGGTGGTGTTCCTGCCATTTGCTGTGAAATCAGGAAACTAGTCTAGTGCATCTGAAAACAATTCAGACCTTGTTAAGCTCAGTCACTCCTATTTGAAATCTAGCTCAGCTACATGGTTAACAAATAACTCCAGTTGTTACATATGAATGTGCTGTTATAAAAAAATAAATCTTATTTCTGGGTTTTGTGAAACAGGTGCATTTGCCCACCTGCACAGAAGACCTGACATGATTGGAGAGAAGAAAAATATGCTTGTTTTATAGGCAAATAGAGTTTTAAATGATAAAAAATAAATCTTATTATAAAGAAAGCCTATTGGATTTTTCAGAGTTTTAAGATCTGTTGTTGTGAGGTCCTGAACAATTTTATCATCCGGTGACTCCAGTATTATTGATTTCATTGAGAGCTGCATGGGCCCAGCACCCAGTTAAGAGCAGACTGTTAGTATAAAAGCTAATTTCTTTAACCTGTATGTATTTTTTCAGAAAATCTCAACTAAGATGCAGTTTGTAGCTTCTAGTGAATCTGGAGGTTTTAGGTGCAGTTGAGGTTTTTGTTGTTTGGTTTTTTTTTAACTGAAGTAACCAGAAAAGCTGAATAGATTGTCTCAGTCAATAGCTGTGTGTTCATAGTGTCGCATAGTGGTAAATCATATTAGTCAATATTTAACAAGAGGATGGAAAATCAGAGTATTTTAAAAATTAGGATGCCACATTATTCCAGAGTCTGCAGTTACTATGATTATACAGATAAAGATCTTTTCCACATTTCTAAATTATTTTGTTGTCTCTAAGGGATGAAGAATTCTCAGTGAGTTCTGTCTTGGCCTCTGATGTCATCCATGCAAATCGAAAAGATATCCCATGTATTTTTAGAGTAAGTATATAGACTTGAATCTGATTACCTAGAGGGCAGAATGATTTAGCTTGATGCAGTGGCCTTTCTCTAATATTTTTCTTCATAGTTCACTCTGATCCAACTCCACCCATGTTAGCAGTGATACGTAGATTATGGTTTCAAAATTATACATATAACTTATTGCAGTGTTTCCCAAACTTTTGATATCTGTGGAACACTTTTTTTCTGGATTAAAATTGGCAGCACACTTCACCCACCAGTTCACGGGCCAGATCTATTCTGTGGGCCCAACCTCTGCATATGGGGCTGGCCTGGCAGGGGCCCCATCCAGCCCATTTTTCACAATCTTCTTCCACTGCTCTTGCAGCAAACTAGTGTGCTGCAGGTACACCTTTTGGAAATCACTACCTTATTGTCACAGTAAAATTGCTGTTGGCAGCTTTTATAGGATCTCCATTTCACTGATCTCTTATATTTCTAATCATGAAGAAAACGTTTCTCTTGAGATGTGATCATTGGTTCCAAAATAGACCAGAGCTCCTGGTTGCCTTTTATCTCATACCAGTAGCTGGTGTGCCTGGTACATGACACAACCTAGAGTGGCAGCTAGAAGGCAACTTACCATACAAGCTTCAGGGCTGTGACTGAACACTCTACATTCTTCATTTAAGTAGAGAATTATAATACCATTCTCTGCCCTTTTTCTGTAGTCCATTTTTTGGCCTTGATCATGGACTGCACTGTGCTCCATGGTACTACAGTGTCTTAGTTGTCATTGTTTACTTTGTCAAAACCAAATTTCCCTTAACTGGAAAATGTTTTGTTTTTTTTTTAAATATACTGAATTTCTCCCCCCCCCCGATTTTAAGAACTCACTAGAAAACATATATTGTTCAGCCTTCAGTTACCAAGCGTGCAGTATCCCCCAGGCAGGGCCATCCCTAGGGGGAGTGAATTGGGGCGACTGCCCCAGGCCCACGGAGCTGGGCAGAGTGGCTGTGGCAATTCCGCACTACCACCGGCTTCACATCCAGCTGCTCAGCACCCCCTTCTCCATATGCCGCCAAATCTGCCATCAGCTTCCTTGCATCTGGGGGTGAGGCCCCACACAGGCTGATTTGTCCTGGGGCCCACACCCTGCTCTGGTCATCTCTTCCCCTAGGTCATGTTGTAGTAATCGTCTCTACTCTAATTTCTGAGCCCCCATTGTAGGCAAACGTTTACAGAACAACTGAAAAAGAACACAAAAGACATGGGAGAGAGATCTTATATTTTAGAAAGACATCCCCACATTTGTCATTTCTCCTCTCCTGACACTGAGTGTCACAGCTAAGACGTTCCTGGGAGTTCAGAGCCTTTAGAAAGTGTAGTTCTTCTTGGGGCTCTTTACATTATTGTAGAACTTCTTAAAGTTTTACAGAGGCAACAGAAATAGCCTGGCAAAGAAACATACATTAAAAAATTAAATATATTTAGCCAGTGAAGGGTAAAGAACATTAACTATAACAAAGCTGGACTCAGTTATTTGGAGTGATTAAAAATACACTCATATATTTTCCCTTGCCCAAGCCCAGTTTCCAGAGAGAATAAAACATAAGTAAAAAGCATTATTTTTGTAGAGTCCTCCATAATTTATTCTCAAGCAGCTCCCAAAGTAACATCAACTGTTACTTGAAAGGCAAATAGTCAGATGCAAGGCTTGAGCTGGTACCTGACACCCAATAAGAGAAATGAATAACAAATAATAAGTAAAATGATAAATAAATAGCTTCATCTAGAGCCCTCCTCTCTGAGTTTTTAGTATGCCCCCCATGTCTCTTCAAGTTACAGCGTTTCTCAACAGACTAGCCACTGCACACATCTACAGGAATATTATGACACTTGAAGGATTTGACTTTGGTGATTTTAGCCAGAGTGGATCATGGAATGTTTTTTGGAAATGTTCTTGCAGAATTTTCTCTTATTTATTCGACTGAATAACACTGGGATTTGTTCTGAAGGGAGACATTTACCTTTGCATAAGGCATGGGGTGGTGGTAGATAATAATGAATAGGAGAGAGAACAAGTTAAAGCTAATATTGTAATACGCTTATGAATTAGATTGCTGGATTAACAGCCACCAGCATAGAGTTGAATTCTTCGGTACCTTGAGTTTGATACTGGATGTCATTTCCAGCAAGTGACCTTTTTCATTTTTGCATAGAATCAAGAAGTTCATCTATTTGAAAAAGTTACCAAGTCATAGTTCCCATTACATTGATACTAACAAGAATTGTTTGTCTGTAACAAATGTAGAATAGATTTTTCAGAAATACTTGGTAAGAATATTTTTCCTTAGTAAACTACCATAAAACATAGATACCCTACCTAATTTACAATGGAAATAAGTTATGTAGGAGGTAGCAGATCCATTTTTTTTTCCCAGAAGGTTATTGAATACAGCCATCTTCACTGAATTATTTTAACTTGGAATTTCGGGTGCTATAAAGCAGGTTCTCAGTTGATTGGGTATAGCCAAAAATGTACAGTTGGTGTATAATTAAAAAGATAGTATAGTCATGTTCTTCTGCATCAACAGCTACTGATAAATTCTTTTATTTGCTTGTTTGTTAAAACACATTTTTTACCATGTTTCAGGTTACAGCTTCCCAGCTCTCTGCATCCAGTAATAAGTGCTCGATCCTGATTCTTGCAGACAGTGAGAATGAAAAAAGCAAGTGGGTAGGGGTGCTGAATGAATTGCATAGGATTCTGAAGAAGAACAAGCTGAAGGATCGGTCAGTCTATGTTCCCAAAGAGGCTTATGACAGCACCCTACCTCTCATCAAAACAACCCAGTCAGCAGCAATCATAGGTATGAAGCTGATGATCTGCAATAAACATTTTTGGGTATGATTTGGCATAATTGAATGCTGACACTTTGGTGCTTTCCTTTCTTAGATATGCACCAAGGCTGTGATATCAGGCAATTGAGTTACAAATCTTGTTTTTGTTCAGTTAAGTTCAAACAATGATAAATCGGGGTGGTCAAAGTGCTTAAGGTGCTATACTAAGATTGCATTCTTTCCTTATTCACATCCCACCTTTAATACAGTGACACAGAGGCTGGAGTGGATGGCCAGGTACAGACATGACACTTTTACCAGTATAAATGATCAGAAACCAGCCTGTACCCATAACAGAACAAGTTCAGTACACATAAACTGGTTTAAAAATGCTGGAAACTGATCTAAGATTTGCCCCCCCACACCCAAAAAGCAAATGTGTGTTCTGTTCACTACCTATCTAAACTACTCCGCATACAAAAAACTGCAACTTCGATTGAGTCTATCTCAGGGATTTTAAATGTCTGTACCTAAGATGATTGTCTGTTAGCAAAAGATAGATACATCTAGGGCCCTCTGTTTTCTCCCATGCTCTAAAACTAAAAGAAAATTCAAAATGTGGCATTCAAGGTATGCTGAAAGCCTTACCACTTCAAGCATTTCAGCTAGATAAATATAATGCTAGAGAGCAAACTAGAAGGAGTGATTGGCTTGATTAAATGGTTTATGTGACTCTTCTGTTTATAACTTCTATATAACATCAAAACAGATGTTAACAACTGGCCATGTACAACATTGTTTTCTGCAAACACACCTCTGTCCAAGGCAGTTAAACTAGCCCAACAATTCAGATGCATAAAGCACTCTCCAGGACCAAAGACACAGCTTCCTACTAGTATTCCTGTTCTTTTGGGGTTCAGAAAGCAAGAACCTAAGTCAGAGGATCAATCTGGATCTTGTACAACAGCTGTATAGTTGCGTGTGGCTTGATTATTTAAATGTGACTTTCTGTTTGTCTGCTCTAAAGCAAGTATCAATGCTTAAAAGTGCTCTGAACAGTTGTTACGAATAATGTTTCGTGATGACATTTCTGCTGATGTGAGAACTGGCAAAAGGCTTTCAGCCGTTTGTAAGAAAAACAAAAATAAGTGTTGCTTTCTGTTTTCTTTAACTTTTATTGGATTTGGCCATTTATTAATTTATGTATTTATTATGTTTGACAGAACTTTGTGTATTAATTCAGACAGATGTCATTATCTTCTTTTGTTTGAAGCAGTGTGTCCAAAAAATGCCTTTTTTTAATGTCATAGATCATGAAAGAATTGCTCTGGGGAATGAAGAAGGGTTATTTGTTGTTCACATCACCAAAGATGGTAAGAAATCCCAAACTGTAATAACTGTGCTAATATTTAATGTGAGGAGTTGAAAAAGTGACTGTAATATCTTCTAGATCCAGGTGACTAAATTTGCAGTTCCAAAGATTTCATCAGTAACTGCCAGCTGGGCAACCTCCCATGTGGGAGCTCATAACCAGCCTATTCCATGATCTTTCTGTCTCTAGCATCATTGCCAGTAATAAAGATCCTGCAACTGGAGTATAGCTGAAGATTTGGTTACACCAGGCAGAAAGGGCTCTGCAAAATTAATGGAAATAACAGCTTGTAAATTAATCAGAGGTAGCACAAAGGTGCAGACATTTACTGCTGAATTAGCTTCTTTTTTTTACTCAGTCACTTTTGTGACTTACAGGCACCCTTTAAATTAACAGCTTTCACACCCCATTTGCTGTTAGCACTACACAAGAATCTGCTCTTTCTTCCACCCTCAGGTGTGATGTGGAAGGGCTCCAGTTTTACAGAACATAGATAATCTTGCCTTCATTCCAAAAGAGGACATTGGATTGCTAACAGAAAAACAATGGAAAAATAGTTTTACTGGTATTATAACACTGAGACAATGTTTATTATATCAAAGCAATCAGTGTAGGGATTTGTTTGTTTTATAATACGCCTTAAAATAAACCTTTTTGAAGGAGCTGTTTAATCTGTATGCATGTTAAGATTGATTTACATCAGGACTTTATTTTTGTAGAGATTATTCGTGTTGGTGACAATAAGAAAGTTCATCAGATCGAGCTCATCCCAAATGAACAGCTCATAGCAGTGATCTCAGGACGAAACCGTCATGTACGGCTTTTTCCTATAGCAGCCTTGGATGGAAGAGAGACTGAGTTTTATAAACTAGCAGAAACAAAAGGTTGCCAGACAATAGTTTCCGGACAAGTGCGCCATGGGGCCCTTACTTGCCTGTGTGTGGCTATGAAAAGACAAGTCCTCTGTTATGAACTAAATCAGAGTAAGACACGTCACAAAAAAATTAAGGAGATCCAAGTCCAGGGAAACGTCCAGTGGATGTCGATCTTCAGTGAGAGGCTGTGTGTGGGTTACCAGTCTGGATTCCTCAAATATCCCTTGCATGGAGAAGGGAACCCATATAGTTTGCTCCACCCAGATGACCACACACTATCATTTATCTCACAGCAGCCAACTGATGCCATCTGTGCAGTCGAAATATCAAATAAAGAATATCTGCTGTGTTTTAGCAGCGTAGGGGTTTATGTTGACTGCCAGGGTCGAAGATCTAGACAACAGGAATTGATGTGGCCTGCAACTCCATCCTCTTGCTGTAAGTGTTTCAGTGCATTTTAATACATATGCTTATTAATACCGTGGTTGTACTTGCAGGGTGGACACAGTGTCCTACTTGCATTAGCAGAAACACTTAATAAATAAGTGTATTATCTAAAATAGAGCCTGAGTCACGAATTCCAGTCATACAGCCTGATTCTGATCTTGCACCTATTAGCTGTATACCTGAGCAAGAGACCTCCCTTGATGTAAAAGAAGAAGAGTAGTGACTCAAGATTTTCAGTAATTAGGTGGCATGATTTTCAAACTACTTAAAATGCTCAATGCCTACTAAGATTCACAGAACTTACCTGCACTTAGCACTTAGAATTAGGCCACTTTCATTTGGGTGCCTAAATATCAGTCCCAAATCTAAAACTTTTGGTCAGCATGAGGAGCCAGGCTTTCTTTAAGTTCATAGTCATTGGTGTTCAGGTTTAATAAAATATTGTTGGTTTTCTCTCTCTCCATTTTCTCTTTCTTTCCCTCATTTTCCTTCTGCCCTCTTCATGCTCACCCATTTCCTCATCCTTTCCCCCATCTTCTACCAACCCCCCCCCCAAAAAAAAATAAGTTTGTCAAAGAGATGGCATTAAGAAGGATCCAATGCAGAAAATCATCTTAGTTGAAACCTGCCAAAAAGTTCTCTGTTAGAGTCAGTGCATGTTTTTCAAGGACATGACTTTCAGCTTACAAGGAGGAAAAAGAGCATGCCTTTTCTTACTTCTGTAAAGGGCTGATTTAATTTAAAATTAGTTTAAAGCATCCAGAAGTCCCCAAATTAGCCAATTGATAAGCACATTATTATTCATCTTGTGTGTTTGGTTTGTTTATTAATACTTTTTCATCATGGAAATTTTCCTTCACCATGAAGGTAGCTTGCTTATGTCCTGCACCACCCGAGTGCAGTCTCTGTGGCTGTTGAAAGAGAAACATGTCCTTTATTTCTCAACCACAAGATGGAGACTAGCACTTTTGGGCCAAAGCAAGGGGGAAATGGACAATGGATGTGTTGAAGAACTTACTAGTACATCACTATTACCAAGGCTGCCCAGAGTGGTTATTAGCAACTCCAAAAAGGTTTTTGCTTATGTGGAGCAAGTTGATACTCTAATTGCAGTTCTACTGGATTAACATCCAGTCACAAATAGTGCCAACAATTATCATAAATTGAGACCTTTGGTAATCTTAACAGAAGGGTAGAATAGTGTTAGGTATGGGAATACAACTCCCCTGTCACCAGAAGAAATAGCTAATGAAATGTGCCAGATTGGTAGCCATAATTAGTACAGACAAAATGCTAGTGAAATATGCCAGATTGGTTAAAACCTGGAAAATAGGAAATACTTAAAACCACATGAGATGGGAAATGTGAATCTTAAGCATATCCATGGTTTCTTGTTCTAACTCATGTTCCTTTAGGATGTGATCCAGTACCAGAAACTACAATTTTCATTTCAAACTCTAGTTAAGGTCACTCCATGACAACCATGTATTTGCCTATCTCATCATTTCATTTACAAAGTCTGAGCACTCAAAAGCAAGGAAAGTAGTGGCTAAGGGCATACTGATAGAAGTCAACATCTCAGAGTAGATTCTCAAGGATTTATAGCCCAAAATAGTTTGTTTCAGCAAAGACTGGAGAGGATAAATATTTTTCTTTACCTTCAGAATAAATGTTATGGGCATTTTGAGGCAACATATTTTCCAATCAAAAGTTATAGGGTTGCCAAAATAGGGCTTTGTAATGGAAATTGATTGCATCGTACCTGTGGAAAGGCTACTGCCTCTGGAATTGGATGCTATCCCAGTGTTCTCAGAAATGCTTTCAGTTCTTGAATTGTGTTTTTAATAAAGGGAGCAAAATGTTTCTTAAGAAATTCTGTTATGCGCACTCTCTTTTGTCTACATGCCCATGACAATATATTTAATCCTTCTGTCTCAGGTTATAATGCACCATACCTCTCAGTGTACAGTGAAAATGCAGTTGATATCTTTGATGTGAACTCCATGGAATGGATTCAGACTGTTCCACTCAAGAAGGTAACTAGCTGTTGACAATGAGCAGCTAAGGAGTTTTGTTAGTCTTTGGAAAATCTAAACCAGCCAGTGGCACAGGTTTCACAAGTGGCAAAGGCAGCTTCTGTGTGTGGCGCACAGCAGATTTGGGAGGAGACAAACAACAGAGTGACAGAGAGGTCTGGGAGCAGAAAGCAGAGCATCAGATGAAGTAGGAAGCACAGGGCAGGAAGCAAAAAACTGAACAGCAGATGAGGTAAAGGGAAGGGGTCAGAGCAGCATTCAGAGATGGTCCAAGGCTAATTTTTGGCATGCCTGACAAAAAAAGCTGGCCCCCACTGATATAAATAAATGCATCTAAAAAGCTTATTGCAGCTAAGATGCAATGCAGCATTGTTGATGGTTGCTTGAATATACTGAAGAAGTGGTTGCTAATACTGAAAATAAAGAATAGTCATGTATGTCATTTGAAAACTGAGGCTGCTTTGGCTGCAGTTTCGTCATTGCAGATGAGAGATAAAACAATACCCAAAAGAGTCTTTTATTCTAGAATAGTAATCTCTGCATATTGGTTACATGTAGTTTCAGAGAGCCTGGTTGTATCTATGTTGCTACTGTAAAATGAGAGATTAGAGAGTGAAAAGCTTTTTAAAAGATGCTTACCTTATAATTTCAGTACCTTAGAACTGTCTGAATGAGAAACACTGGTACAAATTCTGATAAACCAAATGCTTTATGCTGAGGAGGAAGAGACATATTTTTCCTTGCAAAAGCACAGTATATCACAGCAAGGACCAGTTTTGTAGATAGAAAGAAGCCACTTTCCATTAAATGCACATAAGTATTAAAGAATTGAAGAGTGGCTGTGTGCCACACTTTGGGTTGGATTGATCATTGGGTACTTTACAGAAATATAACTCTGTTGATTTGGCTGTAGTGACAGCAGCATAACATTTCAAACCACCACAAACTTCCTTTGTGATACTGTCAAGTCTCAAGGCTTTGTCTACCCCATTTCTGTGCTGAACCTTAGACTGCTGCAAGGAAACAAGCTTGCTCTTGCCCGGCATGTGCCAAATCCCATAAAATAAGACAGCCGAGTCAGCTAAGAGGGGCCCTGAGTGCATGCCCCAATACCACTCTTGGGCTCTCTGTCTTGAGTATGCTACCCAAGACTGCTGTAAAGTAGCTAAGCTTGCCTCATTTCTGAGATTTGGTGCACACCAAGTGAGAGGCATGCTTATTGGCAGTAGTCCCAGGCACCGCACAGATGGCAGACAGCATTTTCATCTCTCTGCCTCAGTTCCCCCATCTGTAAAATGGGGGTAATAGTATTTCTCTATACCATGTTGCTCCTGTGGTTATAAATGGATTAAAGATTGTGAGGTGCTCAGATATGGTGACAGAGCCCATATAAGTACCTTATGGGGGGAGAGAGAGAGAGACTTAGACTCCTTAACTGTAAGAGCATCAGTATGTAGCTTGAAGTTATAAATTACTGTATTTTCCTGCATCCCACACACCCCTAAATAAGACGCAAACCTTGTTTGGGAGGGCAGAATAAAGAAAAAAAATTCTAGTCATGGCCACATGGAACAGGGACAGAGCCTGTTTCTCTCATTTGCCCTCCCTCTCCTGCTCAGGCAAAAGCAACAGTTTTAATTCTTGCGCAGTTGACTGCTCAGCCAAAAACTATTGCCAGCCTGGTAGTGGCTATGAAAGGGTTACATCCAGAACTGCTGCTAAAGACTGGACTCTGCCTCTCCTTCTGTGCAGCTGTGGCAGGGGAGGAAGAGAACTAGCAGCCATTTTCTGGCCTTTCTATGGTTCTATTCTGAGCAAAAAAATAAGCTTCTCTGTTTAAGACATGCACCCCAATTTTGGAGGGCTGGTTTTTGGGGAAAGGGTGAGTGTGGTATGCAAGTAAATATGGTAGTTCTTTCAAAGTCCAACCTTCTTCTGTGCATAATGTTCTGGTGGGTTAGTGTGATTAAGGTGCACCAGTTCCTGTAACTAGCTGCAAACAAGGGAGTGATGTGACTAGCACTATATCCAGTTGTCTTTGACACTTTAGGCTAAATGATTGTGCACCTGTTTTACAGCTTAATCAACTACAGGCAGCTTTTGGTATGAGTCCAGAGTATGACTTGAATTAACACTTTTAGAGCCATAATTGGGCACCTTAATCACTTTGTCACCACACACATCAAACCAGTACTTTACTAACTCTTAAAGCTAACTTACTCCATCCTTTGCATGTCAGATCTCAGAATTATTAAGTAGTCAAAGTATTTGCCTTACTGTTTATGAAAGTAAAATTTATAATCTATGGCTGATTTTAAATTTTCATACCACTGGTAAAACAAACATTGCTTTTCAGCAAGAGGGATGCTACAGCATGTAGGAGACTTAAAGATAACAATATGTTATAAAGAATTTATTCTTTAATACAGGCTACAGTCTAGAGGCAGTGAGCAGTAATCTTTTTGGAATCGAAACTACAAAAATCTATATGTCGTGATATTCTGCCATGTAGAATCATCAAGTTGCAAAACATCCTCAAGACATGAAAATAATGTCCCAACAGAGGCATGCCTTAGCATGAAAAAAAGGACTCTCCATGGCTGCCTATACACATGCTTGTTCACTTCTAATTGGAACACTACAATGTCAGGTCCCCCTCCCCCCCCGCGCGTTTCAAAATGGTCATGAATGCACTTGTCGAATAAGCTTTAGTTAAAGTGCCCCCGTGACCATTTTGAAATGCAGGGGGAGCTTAATCAATGAGATGGTGAGCTATTTTAATAAAAGCTGCTGTCCAGGAACCACTTTAATTATAATGCCTGACACTCCCACCTCCGAGCACATGTATAGGCAGCCCACGTATGTGAATGTTGAAACAGTTGGCTCTAGCCTGCCATCATTCAGTTATAAATTGACTTTTTATGTAGTTCACTGTGTGGAGGTTTTTCAAATGAAGCCTTAAAAACTGGTAACCATTAAAGGTCACTTGACACGTCTCACAAGAGCCAGGTAACCACATCTGACCTTAGCCAAAATCCACTTCTTCTAAACTACGTATGGCATGTGCTTTGCACTAATTGATTACCTCCAAGCTCAATGAATCTCAGTGAAGTTTGCTTTACATTGTAATGTTCTTTGGAAGAAAGGCATTATATAAATGTAAATTTTATTAAGATATTTCTTAATTAACTTGTTTCAGGTACGACCTTTGAATACAGAAGGATCACTGAACCTCTTAGGACTGGAGACAATTAGATTAATATATTTCAAAAATAAAATGGCAGGTGAGTAAGAAAGAGCAGTTTTTTTTAAATGGCATCTCGCTCTGTTCTGGGTCTTTGTATTGATGTGTTGACATTTTCTCATGGTTATTCATGAGCATCTTTTTTTGCAAGGTTCCTCCACTCTTCTTAATGTAAAATAATCAACAATAATGTCAGTCACAGATGGGTTTTGGCTTGGTTTTGTTTTCCCAGAATAATTCAGTGTGGTGCATGAGGACTTTATCTTTTGTCATAAAATTAATAGATTGTGACAAATGTTACATAAACATTAATAGCAGCAATAGTTATAATAGTATCCTAATCAAATACCACATTTTCTTGTATATAACCTACACCTTTTCCCCTCAACCCAGCTGGTAAACATTGGAGTGCACGTTATATGCAAGAAAAACAGATCCACTTGGGTCTGGAAACCTGGTGCAGCAGGAGCAGTGGCAGCATGAATGGCTGCAGATCTGGGAGCCACAACAATTAACCCTGCCACCACTACCCCACTGCCAAATTCAGGTTCCATATGTTCAAAACCAGCAAGTAGTCTTAGCCTTTTTTGGCATTGAGGTTCCTGCCATTCGGTTAACATTGCTAAAGATCTAATCCCTATACTTAAAAATAACTAGGCAAGCAACCTATTAGGAAAAGATCTACACTTTCCCCACAGATGTGCCAAAGATATCAGAGCTTAAGCATTTCATAAGAAGTAGTCTCTTTGGAGTGAGATATGAATGAAAAAGAACCTTTCATTGAATTTCCAGATGTTTGGCAGAATAAGATGCTTCTAGTGCTTTTAAGCAAGTACTGTCTTCCAAATGTCTTTGAGCAGTTTGGACCTCCTTAGCTATCAGGCTGTGTGATGACACCATCTAGATTTTGCTGGTGCTAAGAAAATAAATTTTAGATTGTGTAAATTTTAAAGGGCATTGAGGCCCTTGGCAAGTGTTAATTTAATGGTGATATGAGTTCTCAACGATCTCACAAGGTCTCTTCCAGCCCTAAACTTCTGTAAATCTGATCACAGACAGGGCCGTCCCTGGAGAAGGGGGAGAAAGGGGAGAATCAGGGTGGCCACCCCGGGCCCCGCGCTTTGTGGGGCTCCACAGTCAGTGCAGTATAGGTCCCTCCATTGCCGCCATGCGCCACTGCTGCTGAGTGCCGCCAGCTCTGCCACCGCCAATTGTTGTCAGCGCCAAGTGTTGCCAGCACTGTCTTGCCAGCTCTGGCGTCTCACCACCCCCTCCCACCTGGGCCCCGCACAGGCTGATATGCCTTGGGCTCTGCACACCCCTAGGGACAATTCTGATCACAGATACCAAAAATTGTTCATCCTGCCATGCCACATATGCATAGCAAAATGTGTGATTTGGGCACCAGATCACAATTATGCCCTGTCAGTACAGCTCCCTTTCAACTTGCCAGTATATGTAGAGCCCAGGATCATGATTGTCTCCCCCTGCTTGGCAGAGTCAAAGCTAAGCATGCAACTCTCAAGCACTGGGCAGGGAGAGAGAACATGAATCGCTCCATAAATAGAAGTTCTGCCAGGGCCCTGATTTTCTGTAGCATAAAGCAGAACCTATTTGAAAAAGCGCAGTAGAAAGATATTTTAAGAATACAGTGCAGTTACTGGAGTTCTACTGAAACATGATATAGTACCTATAGGAACCATGAAGAGTGTAAATCAAAAGAGATGCGTTTTTTTTGGTGAGAAATGGTCTTTATCTGAAATTGATGAGACAAAAATAGGAAAGAAACTGATTTTGAGTCACTAGCTTTTTTCTTTTTCAAGCAGTTAGAATATTCTATTTAAATAGGCTTGAAATAAGATAATGTTTGAGATAATTTAAGCAAAAGACATTTTTCCTCCACTATTTAACAGGAAATTTTTTTCCAATTCTACCCAATTTATATTGGTATTATTTCTTATTTGTATTGCAGTAGTTGTCTGTGCATTATACACGCATGCAGTAAAGGCAGTTTTTGTTCTTGATACCATAAATAGCATATCAAGAATAACAGCAGATAGCTGAAACAGCCATGTCATGCAGAAGTGGAGGAGAAGCCAGATGCCTGTGAAACTAACTTGTTTAGTGTAATTCCATAAATCAGTATACCTAACATATATACCCAGTGCAAACCCTTACAGCAAGGGGAGGCCAAGCTCCTTGCTGTACTATACCGTAATGCTAACACAGTACCTTTTCACCAGTGTTGGCAGGCTGGGGCCAGAACAGGGATTATATTTCTACCAGGAGAATTGCTGCTCTCCCAGTAGGAATTGCCAGCACACAGGCCTTTATTCAGTTTCTCACCAAGAAAATGTGCCCCAACTATGAAAAAGATCTTCCATCTTGACACCTGGAAGATCTGCCCCAGGAGAGTTTCTCTTGCTAAGGTGAATGCATATATACTTGACTCTTCTATGATCAGGAGGAGCTGAGCAATAGCTTTCCTTGTGCCTTCCCCAGAGTGGGGGAACTGAGGTCTGGGGAAGGTGCAGGGCCATTTCCACTCAGCCTGACTCCTCCCAGAGGAGCTGAGCTGCCACAGTCTTCATGTGACCAAGGAGATCCCAGTCAGGGGAAGACTCAGGAATCAGTGGCACCTGGACTTCTCCTGAGCAAGGGAAGAGCTGTAACTTCCCTACACCTTTCTCACACTGGGGACTTCACTGCTCTCCCAGCATTCCCCAGACTGGGGTGACCCTGCTAGGGAGCAGGGGACGTCTGCAGGCTGGAACACTGCTATGCTCCCTCTGTTGGGAAGATTTCTTTTGATGCAGATTTCCCAGAAATTTGCAGTGGTAGAAAAGAATGCCTGTCCATAACCCCTGTCTCTTCACAAAGAGCTTCCTTTTGCCTCTCACTATTGAGAAAACACACTGCAGTAGAGCACATGGATCTCCCTGAAAAGAGTAGAATACATTACCTTAATTATACCATCAGCAGCATCAATATGTATTCAGCAGTTATTATATAAGCATGGATCAAGGAAGTAGTTTGCTTTCTGTTGGTGACAGAAGAATCAGGGTTGTAACTAACTCTGAGGCAGCTATGAAATTATTCAGTTGCAAGTAACAGTTGCAGAATCAGCCCCTTATTGATTAAGCTAAGGTTTAGCCACATCTTTTCTGTTCATGGTATTTCTGCTATTTAGCTGAATCTTGCATTCTGTTTTTCCTGTGAACGTGACTCATGGAGCATGTCCCCCTCATGTGATGGTGAATGGTAGTAGTTGACAAAAGAACTCGCACATTTTTGGATACTTCTCTGAGGGCTTCTAAATTGATGAACTCGACCCTTCTGAACATCCAGCATCTTTATACAGTTGTACAGGGGAATAGTCAAGTGATTGTGATCCCCCAAAATTATACAGAACCTAAATAAAATGTCCCCCCCTCCCAAGAAGTGTAGTAAATATTTAATTAAGTGACTCACTGGATTTTTTTTATATTGTTTCCAGAGGGAGATGAACTGGTCGTTCCTGAGACATCAGATAATAGCCGAAAACAAATGGTTCGAAACATCAATAATAAGCGTCGTTATTCATTCAGAGTACCAGAGGAGGAGAGGATGCAGCAGAGGAGGTCGGTATTCAACCTATACTTGTCTTCTGTACATGCCTGTAGGCCCTGAAGGACTGTGTGTCTGATGTCAGTGTAGTATTTCATTTGTTAGAGAAAGTTATCAAACACCTACGCAGACATTTGTGTGTCTTCACCACTGTGTTTATTCTTGATGTACAATTTGTATTAATATCAGTCTGAATATGAATATGCACTGGATATTCAAGTACTTTGATTCCATTTTTAATAAACTCTTTATGTGAAACAGTTACTGTAACTTGGAATGCATGCCTCCACATACTGTATATACGTACATATGTGTGTGTGTGTGCATATACTGTATATATAAAGTTCTATAATAAACATTTTACAAAAGAAGATTATATTGCTAACTATGCATATGGATTAATTACTTTCAGACTCTGGTTCAACTTTTTTTTGTTTAGGGCTGTTCCCATGCCATTCTGAACAGTATTCCAAGGCAGCTGTTTTTTGCTAATGAATAATTGAACTGATGAGTCTTACGGAACGTTCATAAGCTTCCTCTAAATCACAGAGAAGTCACTGAAATGGTGGTGCTTCAGGGCAGGGTTTTATATAAAATGAAAACTCCTTACAGACTGTCACTTTAGAAAATATTTGAAATAAAGAATTGAGAAGGGTTTGCAGGGTTTATAATAGACTTAAGTGATGATGTTCGCATGAGATGATTTTGTCCGTAGAAGGTTGCCAGCTACTATGGTAATATATATCAAAAGAAATAAACATTTTTGTTCTCCAACTACCCATTCCTTCTCCTTAAAATATGGTTGACCTTCTGCTTTGCTTTCTGTTTGGCTTGAAGAAAAGCAACAGCTAGTGTGCTAAAATGCCATAGCTCTTGACTTTAAGTTTTCCAAGTTATTTGTGGTTATATCTTTTAAATTTTTATTTTATTTTGAGTTTTGAAAGGCATCCTTGACATTTTGGAGAGCTCTTAAAATAATTCTGACCACAGAATATGAAAGGTAGTGCAGTATTCTTCTAATTCTTCTTTTATCTTCTGTCCTTCATTTCCATCTCCATCTTTGCAGTATCAAGTCACCAGTGAGCCTGCTTCTGCACCTTTTCTTGAGTACTGTCTCAGCTCATGCTGGTTGTGCATTCCCTGTATCTCAGTAACTATTCAGATTTTTTATGGGTGTGGGCTGATAGCCTGCATAACAATGTTCCCTCCTTCCTGCCCCTTCTCCCACTTCCCCAAACTGGGGGCTGGCACAGGGCAATGTTGACAGCAAGGGCTGCCCTTCTGTTTAACATGGCCAAGTGTTTAGTCTATGAATTTTCATTTAAAATTAACTAAGTGGAGAATATATATCATTTGAATTGTTTTAATATCCATTTTCCTATTGAATAAAATATCTAAACTAAGTATTTTCTTTTGCAGGGAGATGCTACGAGATCCTGAAATGAGAAATAAATTAATTTCTAACCCAACTAATTTTAACCACATAGCACACATGGGTCCAGGAGATGGTATACAGATCCTCAAAGACCTGCCTATGGTGAGTGAGCGAGGGAACAGAGGTGGGAATGGATGTAACTGAGATTGCAGATAAGAGAAACGACAATCTGGCTAGTGTTTTCTTTGTATTCAAAATTTTTGCTCTTTGGATGAAAAATGTGACACAATAAAATGGGATCTAAACAATCTATTACAGCTGGAGCTCAGGCTTGAAATGTGTGTAAATAAATACTGGAGAAACAAATCATTGGTGCCTCCTGAATTATCTGCAGTCTGGAGTTTGGACACTTCTTTATGTGGCGCCCACTGTGGAAGTATTAGGATGGAGTTTCTTTCCTCCTAAGGCCAAGCAGCAGCTCTGGGCCTGCTTCTGCATTTTCAGGGCAGCAGTCACACCTGTGATATCCATTTTGACAGAGGGATTCCCTGGCTGTTTATCCCATCTCCCACTCTACCTTGCCATAAACCTGTTGTAGCCTGTGTCCCTACCCTATGTTACTACAGCTAGAACCTAGGTTTAGTCCATGCTGAAAATTCCCCTTTCCACTGGCTGCCAGGCT